GTATCTTCCTGTGGAACAGCGTCGATTGCACAAACGCGTCCCTCTGTCAGCGCATCGAGCACAAGGACAATTCGCCTTAAGGTCAATGCATTGTCACACGGTATTTTGAGCTGAGAAGTATCCGATGCACCTTTCATAAATAAATAAAGAAGGCGGGTAAAGAAAAAAGACAGATCGTATTGTGTCCACAAGCGGTACGTTTCAGATCGAAGAGCATTGCTCCGCTTGCTTCTCGAACGTATCTGGACCAAAATGCATCATTATTGTCGAAAACAACAGAGCCAAAATGGAACCTCAGAGCCAGCATTAGAACTGAGTATTCCCCTCTAGCAAGAAATCTTTAACATTTTAAGCTCGTCGGTCTGGGAAAGTATGTTTTTGTACAAATAGTACATAAAATAGAAGCAACAAATATCTATGAAATTTACCCTTAATAATTTCTATCGTTGCTCCACATCACTTGAGTTTTTTGGCTCGACTCTTTCCATATCTCTATTTCGCTCAGAAACTATTTATCTATAATTACTTCTACGAATTTACTTTCGAAATTAGTGAAATGCAAATTTTTCGCCTAGGTTTAAAAATAGGTTGCATTTAATTTAACGACGAAATACAGGGCCTTACAGGCAGACAGATACGAAATGTGAGGGTAAAAGGCAGGACACATTAAGTAACGCCAAGGGGACAAGTGAAGTTTTTGGATAGTTCTTTTCATATGTCGACTTCAATCAGCAGTCTACCTGCCTTAGGAAGGAAAAGAGAGGGGGAAAGCTCTTGCCACAAGTCTAAGTACATGAAGAGCCACCATTGTAAAATTGGAGGACACATGGTAAGAGGTGAAGCTATATGCTCATGCATTTATCAAGATATATATTACCATATTCTATCTATTGTAAGTATGATTAATATAGAACATAACTGGAACCCAGAATCACTGAAAAATGAATGATTGTGAGATAAAAGTACTTGTACGTCGCCGAACCAATGGTTAACATCACACCTGGCCTGGTGGCAGCTGGGGGCCGATTCAGGTTACAGCCATTCTTTTTAGTTAGGACTTGTTATCCTGGCATCTCTTTTCCATACTATATGCATTAGCATGTGTCCATCTCTGATACGTCCAAGATACGTGGGAAAAAATAGTATTATCTAATTGGAATGAAATAGGCGATTTTTTTCTTCAGAATACACTTCTCTTTGAACTCATGAAATCCCTGTGCAATAGAGTAAAAAAATAATTGTATTATGGTTTATAATGAATTTTATTTTATTTTTTCTTGAAAATCCACTTTTGTTTGAACTCGTGCATGACAAAAGGGAGTATACCATTTTCAGGTAAAAAAGTACGAAAGTGAGTGAAACCTTGGAGCGCGTAATCTTTTGTTCCTATAGCCCGCTTCAAACATCGGATTATGGCTTCACTCGGTCTTTAAGGACATTAGTATTAAACAAGGGGAGTTAATCCTTGACCTAAATGCAGTAAAGTAAATAAATCATTATGTCCATTATACGTAGAACAGTGTTAGGGAACATAAGAACGAAATACATTGCCTTACAGTCACGTGATGAGTAGCAATATTGGGAATGTCATAGTCCTCGTCGCTAAGTCTCTTTTTTATCAGTAAATCACAGTAATCGGATGAATTACACGATTATCCTATGTTATTGCACTGAAATCGTATCCATAAAACGAAACTTAAGAGGATAATGGAATAAGCGATTATTTTTTACCCACGATTACACAATTCTACGATAACTATGAACATGAGAAAGTATGCTAACTTTGAAACAACCTGAAGAGATTAATGATAAGTGGGAGATTGCACAGGCCTGAAACCATTTCACCATATGGGATGCAGTTTCCTTTCTCTGTTGTTTCCCTGTGCTACATGCATCTGTGTGTACGCGTAAACAAGGTCGGCTTCGATGAGAAACTGAACTTTTGTATTCCAGGTTTCTGCCTCGAAGCTGTTCGACTCGCTTAACAGATCACTGAAAAATGGGAAATTTCCTTGCTATCTGTCACGATCATGATCTATCAAAATCAAGATGTAAACGCTGTCGTAGAACCACCGTTTCCTTAAATGTCTATACGCGAGAATCGAGTGCGAGACAAAATATCTTTCCTGCTCTCCAGAAAGTCCTCGAGCACCAACGTCAACATAGAACCCAACTTATTTCATTTTCTTAACGGACACCATGCGGTTCGTCCTGGGCCAAGAAGTCGCGCTTGCCGTTTCTATTTGTGTCCTAACAGATAAATTGCCAAGTCACCCACGGAACCTTCAAATTCAAAGATTCTAAACGAACATGATGCACGAAGGGATTCGTCAAAGCCGGGAATGAACCCTCACGGACTAAGAATGCAGTTTGAACATTACGCTGTTGATCAATCATTGAGAGCTTGAAGGAAACCGCACGCAATTCGGAGGTCAGGTGGAGACGTCTACTGCGGGGAAAACACTATAAATACCCATAGCATCAACCCACCATTCCCAACCCGAACAGAATCTTCAGTATTCCTTCCCTCGCATCTAGAATCCACAGCTTCTTCACGTACCCCAATGGCCTCCACCCGCCGCCTCCTCATCGCCACCGCAGCCGCTGTGGCTGTGCTGCTTGTTTTTTATGCCTCGCCGGCGGAGGCCAGCCAGCTGAACATGTACGAAGGCCTCGGGTGCACCGGGCGATGGACGGCATGCTTTGATCGCGCGTGCTGCAACGTCACCTACACCGGAAGCTACCGCTTCTACTACAACGACGGCTGGCCCGCCTACCTCTACAGGGGTAACCGTGGATGCAGTGGAAACCCCGACGCCGTTCTCAGGAGCAGCGTGGAATGCACAAACGGCTTCCCTTACCAGAGCATCAGGCAAACTGACACTGCTCCTTAAAGGAAACTGAACACCGTGTTACAGGCAGGCAGGTTTTATAAATAAATAGAGAACACGGGTAAATAAAACAGAAGGGCTGTAGTCCGTTCTTACGCGATGCGCTCGGCATCAAACCGTGTTTGCTCGGTTGCCTTCTATAGTGGTCGTTTGGTGCCTGTCCCTGGTGTCCTTTGTCGCTGTTAACCTCCTTCTACCTGTGAGTTGGAGCGCTGTGTTCGCTATAATAAATAAGATATTTTCATCATCTTTTCTCTCTCTCTCTCTCTCTCTCTCTCTCACCCGTATTCTATGCGCCCATATGAATCGGATGAAGCTTTTAACAACCGATTTTGCCCTAACTGATCGACAAGAATGAGAGGTAGTCAGGATGACTAAACGCGAGAAAATCCCACTTTTTTCTATAAGGGACGGACACATGCCTTAAAATTTCACAAGAGAACTATTTATAGCTGATGTTACACGTTAAACAATTACTTGTTTCTCTGTCCCAATATATTTTGCATATCTGTAATTTAAAACATACATTGGCCAATGAAAACAAAGATGGTTCGTATGACTATTTGGCATTGTAGTTAATGGTGGCTTTTATAGAAATGGGTACATTTCTTCTGGTTGAACTTTTAGCTGCTGCTGACAAAAAGCTATCAATTGGCAAACAACTGTCCTTGAATATATCCTAATGTGCTATTAAATCTCAAATCTCACATGTCTTTGAAAAGAAAGGAATTATGGAGATTGTTGAATAGGCGTTATTAACTAAACTAAGGAGCTTTACAAAAGAGATCTCCACTTATCGATGAGCATGAGCAAACATTTTATTACTGTTAGACTTGGTGGAAACATGGGCTAGTCACAAGCTTGAATAAATTTAAGGAGAATAACATGATCCTTTACATGTTTTGGTACAAAAGTTAGAGGGACTTGTGTTTTAAAGAGATTTTGTTCTCGCCAAGAAAAGAACTTTACATGTTTTAAGGAATTTACACTTATTGTCCGCTAGGTTTATTATAATGATTCTTGAAAAAATTCAAAGGCCAAACGGGAAAGTTAACCTCTTGAATCATGATCTCAATATTTAATATCCTAATTTCGGTTATTTAGGACATCAATTTTTATTATAGACTATATTCTTTGATATCTAGAAAATCATGTTCGATTGAATAAATAATATAAATTTAATCATTTAAAATAATATCAAAATTACTCAAAAATAATGATCTAATGTCACAAGTGCATAATAGACTGAGTTAACTTTTATATCCATATTTTGCTTCTTGTTGTTTCATCGGCTCTTATGTTCTTACCATTACCTTCTCACTAGGCCATAATTTGCAAATATTGACACTTTCTCATTACTGATCAGAAATATATAAAAATAATAGACACTTTACATTGTTTGCTCCAAAAGTTACAAGGGCCTACATTTAAAAGAGTTTTTTTTCTTGATAAGTAAATAACGACACGATGGTTTAAGGAATTTACACTTATTTTCCACTAGGTTTATTATTATGTTAGCCCAAAAGCTGGTGAAATCGCTCTTATTTACATGAGATTCAGATATTCAAAATTTATTTAAAATATCAAGAATAATCGTATATCTGCTCAGTGCCCCAGGCATCAAAACACTGATCTTTCTTTCTCTGTATATTTTTACCAGTCTTCTCACGGAAGACGAGACTGGGCTTTCATCTCTCCTAGTTATTTTGCCCTACTTACGTTAAATACATCATCAGCCACGGGAAACGGCGCAGTTCACTCCTTGGGCTGCAAAAATTCATCCTTGATAAATCTTCAGGCAGGAAGAAATAAAACTATCCTCGGCATGGCCCTTGGTCTACTTCCATGTTTCCAAAATAGGAACAGATGGGAATGACAGTCTTTTCTTTCCTGAGGCAAGAACTTAGCTCCGCTTAGCATTCTTTGAACGAGTTCCACGTGATAGTGGGATGACGTGTTACTGGCAGTGGAGCGGCATTACTATCACACTGTCTCCGGTCTGCTCTTTGTAGGTCAATTGACATTGCTTTCCGTCTTACCCGTTATCTTCCCCAGAGAGTAGATAAGCAGCCGGGAGATGTAGAGAGACGAGGGAATGCTAAGACCTAGATGAAGGGGTCATCCAGATGGACTAATAAGAGGAGAGCGAGAGCGAAGAGGAGGAAGACCGTGAGTTGATCGAAATCATGAAAATATGAACACTGGCTAATACTTTTGCCCACTGATGCCTGAACGTGATCCCTAGGATGACGAAGAGATTCATGACAAAGAACGCGACGCGAAAATGGTCGAAATAGTATAAATCGGAGGAACCAATACTGTAGCGGGACATGACGTAGGACAGAAGAGTTGGAGACTGATTTGGATGCACTCCAGATGGGCAGAGCTGCCAACGTGCGAAGGTGCATGAAAGCATAGAACGGCTACGATTTGGTATGAGACCTCTGACGAACTGTGTTTTAGGCTACTACACGCCCAAAGAACTAGCGACCATTTTCGGAAGCACCGGTGGAACGCCACGCCTCAGACTCCCACTCGTCGTAGCTACGTGAGCTGCTAACTCGGGCAAAGAGATCCTTCTTTTTTCCCTCTGGCCGAATCCGCAAGCAGAGAAAATTGTTTTGTTTTTCGTTTTTCAACAATATTCGGATTCAGGAAAAAGGATGCCGCCCAAACAATATCCGGGAGATGGGTGTTTCAGCATTCCCTACTGCTACCGAACAGAGTACATACAGAGCGGAGATGGGAGAAAGACCGATGGGCTCTGCGCAGCTCCCATACTCTCATGAGAGAGATGCCGGCTGCCTTGCGCTACCAGTACTCTAATGATTGGAGTTTGAAGAGCCTGGCCTGGTCCGCTACAGTGAGATCGGTCGGTTGGGAGGTGAGCTGGTGTGCCTCCATCTCCATCAGCCTCCCAAACGGCTCGGGACGGTGGCCGCCGAGTCCACTGATGCCGGTGGTCCCTAGCAAACAGCCGTGGCAACGAGAGAGCATATCGCTCTTGGTAGGAATCCCATGGATTTCACAAAAAGAGGGGCAACAGCTCTCTCATTTGGCCCTGAGCATATCGCTCAAGCAATAGCTTAAAGGAATCTGTTGAATCAACGAAAGATCTTAGAGGACATAAACATAGCTCAGCATGTCAGCAACCGAGCCGAACAGAAACCGACCAGAACCGAGCCTAACCGAAACCTGATCAGAACTGACCCGAACCGTAACATGGCCCGCGTCATCATTATCATTGGCATATGGCCCAACATAATCATTTGTCTTGATCGGTTGTTACAAAATCGTGCGTAAGAATTCTTTCTGTGCTGTTAGGGGCATAGATTACAAATGAGAGCGAGAGAGAAACAGATACAGAGAAAGAGGATCATTAAAATATCCTATTCATTATAGCGTGGAACGCAAGGCTCCAACTCAAAACTTGAGGGAGATCAAGAGCGCGGAAGACACGGGGGACATGCCCCACACGGCCCCAGTAGAAAGCAATAGAGGAAACACGGTTCCATGAGGAACGCATCGCGTAAGAACAGACTACAATCCATCTGTTTTATTTACCCGTGTTCTCTCTTTATTTCTCAAACCTGCCTGTGACTCTCAAAACTAAATTCCCGTGACGGTGCTCAGTTTCCTTTAAGGAGCAGTGTCAGTTTGCCTGATGCTCTGGTAGGGGAAGCCGTTCGTGCATTCCACGCTGCTCCTGAGAACGGCGTTGGGGTTTCCAGTGCATGCACGGTTACCCCTGTAGAGGTAGGCGGGCCAGCCGTCGTTGTAGTAGAAGCGGTAGCTTCCGGTGTAGGTGACGTTGCAGCACTGGCGATCCCAGCAAGGCGTCCACTGCCCGGTGCAGTCGGGGCCTTCGTACATGTTCAGCTGGCTGGCCTCCGCCGGCGAGGCATAGAAAACAAGCAGCACAGCCACAGCGGCTGCGGTGGCGATGAGGAGGTGGCGGGTGGAGGCCATTGGGGTACGTGAAGAAGCTGTGGATTCTAGATGCGAGTGAAGGAATACTGAAGATTCTGTTCGGGTTGGGGATGGTGGGTTGATGCTTTGGGTATTTATAGTGTTTTCCCCGCAGTAGACGTCTCCACATGATATCCGAATTGCGTGCGGCTTCGTTCAAGCTCTCGGTGATTGACCAACAGCCCAATGTTCAAATTGTTTTTTTAGTCGATCTGGGTTGATCGTCGCATTTACAAGTCCTTTCTTCCGTCTTATTCGTTCAGAATCTTTGACTTTGAAGGCTGCGCGGGTGGCTTGACGATTATGTTCATATCGCGCCCATTTTGTTGCGGCACATTAATAGAAATGCCAAACAGGGAACCTCCTTTTTGGTGGGCATTGCAATGGGTGACTTGGCACCTCCAGTCCTTCAAATGGGCAAAGATGTCTGCAAAATATCTTCTTGGACCTGCCGCGAATGAAGACGAGACGGACCTTAGGGTTTATTTTTTAATCCCACAACCGTATGGATGGCTTGGCATAGTTTCATGTGAAACGAAAGTAGGAATGCTGAAAGAACAAACGTCAGGTCCACCTCGCCGCCGAGAAGGTCAGACATTGCCAATTCAAGGCGGACGTCTTCAAACCCGATTCACCCACACAAGCCTGCTCCGTAAACCAGTTTAAACGTGGCCCGTGGGGCCGAGAGTCGCGAAATCAAACAATCTCACTCAGACCTTAATTGAAGTGGAGAAGAATGATAAAATAAAAGTCTCTAACTAGCTAGAGCCCGTGCCACACTTTCCCACCTCCGAAATAATATCTTGGTTTGACTACAGGAGATATCTAATTGTAGTACTTCTGTAATTTCCCACATGGCCGCCACCGGCAGGCTTCTCGTTGCCATTGCGGCCTCCGTGGCGGTGCTGCTGGTTTGCTCCGTCTTGCCGTTGGAGGCCAGCCAGCTGAACATGTACTAAGCCCCTAAAAATAAATCATAGAAAATTGGAAAGAAAGAAGATCCCTGTATTGTACCCTCACGTGAGGTGTTTGGAGCCTCTCTGCTGTCTTTCACTGGCAGTAATTTTGTTCATATATGTCTCCTGAGGAATTTTGTTCATGCCTTATGTGTATATTGAGGTTTGTTGTTACTAAAGTTAATAATGAAGATTTTACTGCATTACAATAGAATTTCGAAACAGAGGCATCTGTTTTTGAAACAGAAAATTAAACAGTGGTTGTCAGTGAGGAATCATTTTTTTTATTGTAACAATGAATTGACAAAGTGATACAATATCATTACTCAATTATAGTACCTTTAAAGTCCACTCCTACTCAAGACTGCAAGTTAAAGGGAGAAGGCAAAAACAGGCATGAAAGCAGCCCAAGCAAGACTTACTATATCCAAATGACATATCTCCTATCCTCATGAAAAGACTGAAAATTATTCCATTACTGATCGCTAATCATAGTGGAATCATATGGTGCAGAGTCAAAATGAAATTGTGTTAAGGCTATTAATGAACTAATCCAATAAATCCGTTCAGATAAGGTTCTAATATTTATCTCATTTCTCATAGTTTTGACCCAGTCAAGTTTAGACCAAAATACTGTGTACATGTTTTGGAAATAACAAGTGATATTGTATTCATGTTTTGTAGCAATCTCATGAAAGAACATTTTTTAACCTTTATTCTATCACTTTAAGGTCCAATCAATCAATAATCAATATGAATTGATTATTAGTCACTAGGAATTTCTTATAAGTTAAGAGATAATGTCTCTTTATTCATTCTCTTACACACCTCCTAAATAAATTTTCCATCAGCCTAGAAAAATGAATCAGCAGTCACTTACTCCCCTAGTGTTTTACATTAAGGTAACTAAATTAGTAGAATTTAAGGGTCTCTCCTATCATCCATTTTTAAGCCTAAAAACCAAAAGAGAGAGTGCTTTTGGACTCTTTTCTTTCACTACTAAGATAAGATTTCCATTCTCTTATTCTCATGGGTCTTAGTCTCAAAGTTGGCTCTTATTATTTATTTGATTTATTTTCTTCCAGCATTATTGGTTTTGTCTCGACCATAGTTAACATCCATAGTTTCAGGAAAAATAATCTTTTCTTCTTTAGAACCTATGGATCATTCTGAAAACCATGTAAATACTAGAGCTAAGGCGTTAGCTCTATTTCTGTTAGGGAATAATTCTTCGATTTAGGTATATGTCAGCAAGTTAAGAAATCTCAAGCTTTTTAGTGATCAAGTAACATCCAGATATGAACTGGGCATAAAGGAATTGCAGTGACCCCACTTACTCCTTGGTCATGTTGCCAAAAGAATTGAAATACTCTATTAATATTAAAATTTAAATAAATTTATTATTTATATAGAACGCATAGTTAATATTATATAATATACCTAACTCTTTATTTCTAAATGTGGCAATTCATCAACCATTTCTTTTGTAATAAATTTAAATTGTGAATTTCATTGTATATATACGTTTCTAGGAATGAATTCCTGTTTTTAATTTTGCTTGATCTAGTTGAGATGATTTTCTTCAATTGATTGTATTCGACCATTAACTACACCATCAACCTAGAACTAATCAACAATGTAATAATTTAAATGCGATATGCATGTCTTTTATTTAATAAAAAATCGAACTGATTTACCATAAACGAAATAATTATGTACAAATAAATAACTGTGAATATGGTAGAAGTAGGATATTATTACGGAAAAAATTAGGAAGTAAATTATATAACATTATAAGATAACATTCGAAATATCAATTTATTCAGAATAAAATCTACGAAAAGTATTTTATCAATTGTAGTAATAAAATATTTCTATTCTTTTAGTATAAGTAAAATACTACATAATATACTTAAATCAATCCCCTTTCATTCTCAATTACTTTTAGGTTTTCAATAATAATAATAATTATTTCTACATGTACATAAATGCAAAGATTCAAGTCTTTCTCAAGATTAAAGAAAATTTAGTAACATCGCATGTTGAAACAGATTATCGTATTAAACTGGAGAAGTATAGGAAAGATTCGGAAAGAGAATTATATAAACTTAAAGCTGATCAAGAGCCATATACACATAGTTTAACGTATGTTACACCTAGGCTCACCCATGTTTAACCTATGTTGGACTCCTTTATACTACCCTAGTTCAGGAGCTTGTCCGAATCTGATTTTAATTTTTTTTATATCCGATTAGTTCCGTATCTCCTAGAAGAGATACGGAACTAAGACGGTGGGTAGTATGCAAGAGTTTATGACAGTGTTCTCGTTAAAATATAGTGGATCATCTCTTGCCTGTGGTCGGCTTCTTAAACCTTTTTTCATTAGATCCTATTTCTGCACTACTGCGTTTGTCATGTTTTAAGGAATAAAAAATAGTATGGTAAAGAGATTATTAAAATAATGCTTATGTTATACAGTAATTTAACTTTACCATTGACTAAATGTTATATGTATCTTCCATTATTGACTTTACCGTACAAATTTACCCTGTACGGAGCCACAAATTTAATACTGCACTCATTAGCACAATCACAGGGGTCCTATGGTATTCAATTACCATAGGAAAATTACGTTGGACAGTCTCTAAGAATTTTGATATCAGCAGAGAATGCTGAAATTTTCACGGCACATGATCGAAGACTGATAAAAGTTAGGATCGTTATAACTAACGCAGGCTGAAATACTGATAAATGTTTCTTCCGTGCGTAATAATCTGATTCGATGACCCAATCATCATCGAGTATGTCTATAAGGGATTAAAAGGAAAATACAGAGCGAAAGAGAGAGTGACACATGCGCGTCGCATGAGGATCCACGTATCATTGAAGAGACGACTTTTATCTTCATTTTTAACTGTAGTAAGCACGAAGCTCAAGGTACACGTCTATAGCCTCTAACAGTTGATCATTAACGTAACAGACTCAAGAGGCATACATGCACAAAGTACTGTAAGAGAAAGATAGCAGAGACACACTCTAGAATGCTACACGCATCACGTGGGTAGACAATACATGGGTCTCTTTTATTTCAAGTTGCTAAGATTTATTTTCATGAGCTGGGCAGGACTCTGTCCAAAACTAGTATCCTACGACGATGTCACCGCTTTTAAGGAGCAGTGTCAGTTTGCTTGATGCTCTGGTAGGGGAAGCCGTTCGTGCAGTCCACGCTGCTCCTGAAAACCGCGTCGGGGTTCCCGTTGCACACGCGGTTACCTCTGTAGATGTAGGCGGGCCAGCCGTCGTTGTAGTAGAAGCGGTAGCTTCCGGTGTAGGTGACGTTGCAGCACGTGCGATCAAAGCATGCCGTCCATCGCCCGGTGCAGCCGGGGCCTTCGTACGTGTTCAGCTGGCTGGCCTCCGACGACATGGGGAAGAAAACAAGCATCACAGCCACGGCGGCTGCGGTGGCGACGAGGAGGTGGGATCTGGGGGCCATGTGGGAACGTGAAGAAGTAATGCAATTAGAAATCTCCTATAATCAAAGGAAAAGATTGTTGGGAGGTGGGGAATCGGGGAAAGGGCTGTAGCTATTTATAGACATCTTATCATATTATTCCTTTCCACGTCAATTATTGTCTGAGTTGCATTCGTTGATTTCGCAATTCTTGACCAGACGGGTCAGGTGGAAACTGGTTTCCGGAGTAGGCTCGTGTGGTGAATTGGGTTTGAAGAGCTCCGCTTGAATTTGCAATATTTGACCTTCTCGGCGGCGAGGTGGACCCGAGGTTTATTCTTGCAGAATTCCTGGTTTCGTTTCACATGAAATTATTCCTAGCCGTCCATAATATATTAGGATTAAAAAATAAACCGCATGGTTCGTTTAGTCATCAGTGGCGTCAGGTGCCGAAGATGATATGTTGCGTCAGGTGGTCTATATTTGGACTGAGATTGAGATCCACGTACAAGGAACTAGAACCGTAGAAGCCCGCCGCTTTCTCTCCGTTGTTCTCGTCGCCGAAGATCCCCCTGGCAGATGCTGGCGTACAGCGGCTCCGGAAATCAGTTGAAGGGGGCGGCAAACGGACGCAATGTGCCTGTGTACGCCGCTATTATGTAAAACGCAGCCAATGGCATCCGTTTCCACCGCATGAATTATTTGCCTCTGCCACTATACTAGGTCAACGAAATGGCAAATTACAATCCGGAAAAAAAGAAGAAGCAAATTTGATGTCCATGAGAATGGAAAATAAGTGAGCTCCTAGCTTACGTTTCCTCTGCTAAGGCCTTGTTCACGGTCATTCTCTTCCCCGGAAAGAGAGGGCCCATGGACTGGCCGTTGATAGAAACGTCCATTTTCAGGTCCTAATAGCGCCGATTTCGGCGAATGAGTTGGGTTTGGAGGGTGCAGAAGAGGGCGAAGAGATTGTTTGGGCTAGAGTTCGAAACCCTTCTCGCCGAATGGAAAATCTGCGTTTGATCGGGAAGGCGTGAGGCCATCTTACTGTTGCCGATAGAGAATTGAAAGAAGACGGCTTGTCAGATTCGTGACTAAATGTTTCATGACGTCGATGCACGGCCATTAAGGTACTGTAACCGAACTCCGTGTTCTAACTCAACGGGTCTGCTTTATAATATTTCTTCGGTATGCACCCACCCACCGACGTAGACGCTGGTACAAGAAACGAATTGAAGGAGAGAGAACGTACTCACCCTTCCGAATTATTGGACGACGGCCTCCTATGTTTGTTGCTCTATGAAGAGAAGATAATATAGTTAGGATGACACTCGAACTTGCTTTCAAATTGTAGGGCTCCTTTAACATAATCAAGCCTGGACGTTAACTAACGGGCATCTTTTTTGGGCCAGAAAAAGAGTGTGCGAGAGAGACAGAAAAAGGAAAAATGTCCAGGAGGATTTTGTTTTTTACCAATATGGAGGACGTTTATCTCCGTTTCCGTCGGTGATTTCTCTTCGGGATCTTTTATTCCAGAGCAATGGACCAAGAACTGATTTCTTAGTTATTTCTAATGCTGCCGATGCTTTTCTACCATCTATTCATCCTATCCCTTTACGGCTTTCGTTCAGAATTTTAAGCATGAAACTGTCTTCAAAATATTTATTATTGCGACGCCACCGTAAAGGGAGACACGGATTCTCTATGAGCGTGTTAAATCGGTGAAGTAGCCGACCAGTATCTTCGATGACCCATACCTTGCATCCTAGGCTAGGGTGTATCACTATGAAATCCTCCAAGGTTTATTTTATAAAACAAACGGCATACGATACATGAATAACCATCCAATCTAGAGCACAGTGCTGCAGGACAAAACTTTAAACATGGAAGGAGGAAGTCACCCACGACAATGCGTCCAAGGGACTCCACACCGGAAACCTGTTTCTGCGTAACTGGTAAGAGAATGGTTGCGAACTCGAAGAATAAACTCGTAGCTAACATCCAATCAATTGTTCTTTCATACACCTTAATGCCCCCCCGACTGCAAGCTCCTCGTTACCACCGCGACTGTCATGACTGTACTGCTTGTTCTTTTCGCTCTCGCGGTGGACGCCAGCATGCCGAACATGTACGAAAGGCCTGGGTTCACGGCAGTGGTCGCTCCGCTGGCATCGCCAGTACGGCAACACCACCTATACAGGAAGCAACACTATCTACAATAACAACGGGAGCATGGGGAGCATCAGTATCTTCCTGTGGAACAGCGTCGATTGCACAAACGCGTCCCTCTGTCAGCGCATCGAGCACAAGGACAATTCGCCTTAAGGTCAATGCATTGTCACACGGTATTTTGAGCTGAGAAGTATCCGATGCACCTTTCATAAATAAATAAAGAAGGCGGGTAAAGAAAAAAGACAGATCGTATTGTGTCCACAAGCGGTACGTTTCAGATCGAAGAGCATTGCTCCGCTTGCTTCTCGAACGTATCTGGACCAAAATGCATCATTATTGTCGAAAACAACAGAGCCAAAATGGAACCTCAGAGCCAGCATTAGAACTGAGTATTCCCCTCTAGCAAGAAATCTTTAACATTTTAAGCTCGTCGGTCTGGGAAAGTATGTTTTTGTACAAATAGTACATAAAATAGAAGCAACAAATATCTATGAAATTTACCCTTAATAATTTCTATCGTTGCTCCACATCACTTGAGTTTTTTGGCTCGACTCTTTCCATATCTCTATTTCGCTCAGAAACTATTTATCTATAATTACTTCTACGAATTTACTTTCGAAATTAGTGAAATGCAAATTTTTCGCCTAGGTTTAAAAATAGGTTGCATTTAATTTAACGACGAAATACAGGGCCTTACAGGCAGACAGATACGAAATGTGAGGGTAAAAGGCAGGACACATTAAGTAACGCCAAGGGGACAAGTGAAGTTTTTGGATAGTTCTTTTCATATGTCGACTTCAATCAGCAGTCTACCTGCCTTAGGAAGGAAAAGAGAGGGGGAAAGCTCTTGCCACAAGTCTAAGTACATGAAGAGCCACCATTGTAAAATTGGAGGACACATGGTAAGAGGTGAAGCTATATGCTCATGCATTTATCAAGATATATATTACCATATTCTATCTATTGTAAGTATGATTAATATAGAACATAACTGGAACCCAGAATCACTGAAAAATGAATGATTGTGAGATAAAAGTACTTGTACGTCGCCGAACCAATGGTTAACATCACACCTGGCCTGGTGGCAGCTGGGGGCCGATTCAGGTTACAGCCATTCTTTTTAGTTAGGACTTGTTATCCTGGCATCTCTTTTCCATACTATATGCATTAGCATGTGTCCATCTCTGATACGTCCAAGATACGTGGGAAAAAATAGTATTATCTAATTGGAATGAAATAGGCGATTTTTTTCTTCAGAATACACTTCTCTTTGAACTCATGAAATCCCTGTGCAATAGAGTAAAAAAATAATTGTATTATGGTTTATAATGAATTTTATTTTATTTTTTCTTGAAAATCCACTTTTGTTTGAACTCGTGCATGACAAAAGGGAGTATACCATTTTCAGGTAAAAAAGTACGAAAGTGAGTGAAACCTTGGAGCGCGTAATCTTTTGTTCCTATAGCCCGCTTCAAACATCGGATTATGGCTTCACTCGGTCTTTAAGGACATTAGTATTAAACAAGGGGAGTTAATCCTTGACCTAAATGCAGTAAAGTAAATAAATCATTATGTCCATTATACGTAGAACAGTGTTAGGGAACATAAGAACGAAATACATTGCCTTACAGTCACGTGATGAGTAGCAATATTGGGAATGTCATAGTCCTCGTCGCTAAGTCTCTTTTTTATCAGTAAATCACAGTAATCGGATGAATTACACGATTATCCTATGTTATTGCACTGAAATCGTATCCATAAAACGAAACTTAAGAGGATAATGGAATAAGCGATTATTTTTTACCCACGATTACACAATTCTACGATAACTATGAACATGAGAAAGTATGCTAACTTTGAAACAACCTGAAGAGATTAATGATAAGTGGGAGATTGCACAGGCCTGAAACCATTTCACCATATGGGATGCAGTTTCCTTTCTCTGTTGTTTCCCTGTGCTACATGCATCTGTGTGTACGCGTAAACAAGGTCGGCTTCGATGAGAAACTGAACTTTTGTATTCCAGGTTTCTGCCTCGAAGCTGTTCGACTCGCTTAACAGATCACTGAAAAATGGGAAATTTCCTTGCTATCTGTCACGATCATGATCTATCAAAATCAAGATGTAAACGCTGTCGTAGAACCACCGTTTCCTTAAATGTCTATACGCGAGAATCGAGTGCGAGACAAAATATCTTTCCTGCTCTCCAGAAAGTCCTCGAGCACCAACGTCAACATAGAACCCAACTTATTTCATTTTCTTAACGGACACCATGCGGTTCGTCCTGGGCCAAGAAGTCGCGCTTGCCGTTTCTATTTGTGTCCTAACAGATAAATTGCCAAGTCACCCACGGAACCTTCAAATTCAAAGATTCTAAACGAACATGATGCACGAAGGGATTCGTCAAAGCCGGGAATGAACCCTCACGGACTAAGAATGCAGTTTGAACATTACGCTGTTGATCAATCATTGAGAGCTTGAAGGAAACCGCACGCAATTCGGAGGTCAGGTGGAGACGTCTACTGCGGGGAAAACACTATAAATACCCATAGCATCAACCCACCATTCCCAACCCGAACAGAATCTTCAGTATTCCTTCCCTCGCATCTAGAATCCACAGCTTCTTCACGTACCCCAATGGCCTCCACCCGCCGCCTCCTCATCGCCACCGCAGCCGCTGTGGCTGTGCTGCTTGTTTTTTATGCCTCGCCGGCGGAGGCCAGCCAGCTGAACATGTACGAAGGCCTCGGGTGCACCGGGCGATGGACGGCATGCTTTGATCGCGCGTGCTGCAACGTCACCTACACCGGAAGCTACCGCTTCTACTACAACGACGGCTGGCCCGCCTACCTCTACAGGGGTAACCGTGGATGCAGTGGAAACCCCGACGCCGTTCTCAGGAGCAGCGTGGAATGCACAAACGGCTTCCCTTACCAGAGCATCAGGCAAACTGACACTGCTCCTTAAAGGAAACTGAACACCGTGTTACAGGCAGGCAGGTTTTATAAATAAATAGAGAACACGGGTAAATAAAACAGAAGGGCTGTAGTCCGTTCTTACGCGATGCGCTCGGCATCAAACCGTGTTTGCTCGGTTGCCTTCTATAGTGGTCGTTTGGTGCCTGTCCCTGGTGTCCTTTGTCGCTGTTAACCTCCTTCTACCTGTGAGTTGGAGCGCTGTGTTCGCTATAATAAATAAGATATTTTCATCATCTTTTCTCTCTCTCTCTCTCTCTCTCTCTCTCACCCGTATTCTATGCGCCCATATGAATCGGATGAAGCTTTTAACAACCGATTTTGCCCTAACTGATCGACAAGAATGAGAGGTAGTCAGGATGACTAAACGCGAGAAAATCCCACTTTTTTCTATAAGGGACGGACACATGCCTTAAAATTTCACAAGAGAACTATTTATAGCTGATGTTACACGTTAAACAATTACTTGTTTCTCTGTCCCAATATATTTTGCATATCTGTAATTTAAAACATACATTGGCCAATGAAAACAAAGATGGTTCGTATGACTATTTGGCATTGTAGTTAATGGTGGCTTTTATAGAAATGGGTACATTTCTTCTGGTTGAACTTTTAGCTGCTGCTGACAAAAGGCTATCAATTGGCAAACAACTGTCCTTGAATATATCCTAATGTGCTATTAAATCTCAAATCTCACATGTCTTTGAAAAGAAAGGAATTATGGAGATTGTTGAATAGGCGTTATTAACTAAACTAAGGAGCTTTACAAAAGAGATCTCCACTTATCGATGAGCATGAGCAAACATTTTATTACTGTTAGACTTGGTGGAAACATGGGCTAGTCACAAGCTTGAATAAATTTAAGGAGAATAACATGATCCTTTACATGTTTTGGTACAAAAGTTAGAGGGACTTATGTTTTAAAGAGATTTTGTTCTCGCCAAGAAAAGAACTGCACAAAAGTTAATAATGAAGATACCACTTGTTACTTCAGCGTTGAGTGGATCTTCATGCGAAACTCTTGAATCACTTTGTGGGGTTCCTTTGTAGGGTTCCTTTATTCCCTTTTAGTTGTACTCGATGGTGATGGGTCACCGAATAAGATCATTATGCCTGAAGAAACAATAATAACGGTTGAGTTGGTGTTATCTTTTATTAATCAATCTTTCATCGTTCCCTGTCTGCTTTGGCGTTCTCTGCTGATATTAAAATTCTTGGAGAACAGATACTGTTTTTTTTCGTGGGAGTCGGAACTGATCTGGTTTAAATATATTAACCACAGGCATAAAATATATTAACTTCATGGGAGTCAGATATACATCTAGTCCCTGATCTGGTTTAAATATATTAACCACAGGCATAAAGTATATATGAATATATTCACATGTTTCGCGTACCTGTACTCTAATACATTTTTCAGTGGGGAAAAGATAATTCAAAGGAAAAAACTATATCAGAAATGTCGTCGAAATGAAGATTGAATGTTATGGTGTCAATTATCTTAAAAAAAAGGAGCCAACCTCGACCATGCTGTATTAACTCTGATGGACGTACTCATTTTCCATGGTTACTTTTGCCTTAATTCGTAGTAATTGATCTGTCTTGTTTCTTATCCAAGTATGTTGTGGTTGTGTAGGTTTGCACAGAGATCTCATCAAGAAAAAATGTCGCTCTGGCTCCAGCCACATGTCAAGGTGCTGAATCTATGTAAACTATGTCTTGACGTTCTTTATATGGAACGATCTCTTGCTAACCATGCTTCTGTTGTTCTAGACATATTCCAAGTTTGGGGATGTGGTGTTTACGTTGACTGGACTTCTCCGTGACCAAGTTTCCTGTGAGAAAGTTGAGGGAAAGTTGAAAGATGAATTGATAACAGGTAATATATGATTCTATCTATTTTTTAATTCCGAAATCGATAGGTAAAAAAATTAGTCTCTTTTATTAGGTTCCTGATGCCCCATTTAGAATGGATAATGTCGACACGAAGGTGCTTAATTTTATCAAACTTTCCAGGCGTTGCTATAAATTATATGCAAATAACTGGTTGACTAGGAATGTGGTCTCCATAATTTTTTGGTACTCATTTCTGGCTGTCAAAGTCAATCTAGCATAGAATCTTCACCAACAGATGATACTCCGTGTATGAAAATGGAATAACGATATAAATAAAATTTAGAATTAAATTGGTCAAACACGAAAAAAGAAATGTTCTTGGAGCTGATGCTTACCCTTTGTCGTTTCTTATTTCTAACGGACATGTGTTGATGAAATAGAAGTAAAGAACAGTTAATTTTAATCAATTATTGATCCCCAATGTGGAATTGTAATGCAGATAATGTTCGTGGAAAGGAGACAGAGAAGCCAGGGAGGAAGAACCCACACTCTTGTATAGAGAGTGTTCTTGGGAAGGAAATAGATCACCCGAATGAAAATCTGATTCTGCCACAACGGATGGTACATCTTCGTTTGTTCCTACTTTTTTGCTTCAATTGATGGCTTTGACTAACTCCATTTTTCGACTAAACTTTCCTTTGTATTCTTCCAAATCTTTTTTCTTGGCAGATTAACACCAGCAATGAAGATTCTGAGAGGCGGCAATCTTCAGCTTTTGAAACTACCAGAGGAATACCGCAAATCTTCAGCAACGAATGAATATCCGTTGACTCCATAGAAGGAATACTTCCCGCAAATAGGTCAACTCTTAGTAGCATAACTGACATGGGGAAGAAATCCGGAGGCGGTAAAAAATCCCTTTCTGTTGATCACAAGAGAAAAGTTCTTGAAGATGACCAGTGCAAGGTGGTTGACTGGACCGCTGACCCCATAGCAGCGGAGAGAAAAAGTAGTAAGACCAAAGTGACGGCTCCCAGTTCTTTGGAAAGTTATGTATCATCTGAAGCTGATCCCCATTCAGAGCAAGCTTCAGGATTTCCGCCTAGACGTTACCCTCTCTCGAGCAGTTCAGATAAACAGCAAATCGGACCATTTTCATCTGAGGGTGATGACAGGTGTGACAGCAGCAGACGCTATGAATGCCGTCAACCAGGGCTGGGCATGCATCTAGTGATGATCTGACGAGAAGAAAGTCTCACGTTCAGTCACATCCGCAGAAGGACGGTTCCTCCGAGCAGACAAGAGGGTCTGCTTTCCTCATGCAGGTGTGCTTCTGTTTCTCTATTTTTGCCATTTTCTGTAAGTCAACTGGGTCATCTCTGCTGAAGCTCCTGCCCATTTTAGCCATCTATCTGCAGCCCTGTGTGCTCAGCATTTTAGCTTTAGTCCTCGTTATAGGAAGATTGGTATCCTTGCCATATCTCCTAGCACGGCAGAAGAGAAGGTGGGTTTTCAGAGGGCTAGGTTGAGCTGGACTGTTGACTTTTTCAGGTCAAAGAGAAGCTCACCGAGGCTGAAGACAAGGAGTTTGTCGGTCTCATAAAGGAACTGAAGCTGAAAACGGTGAAAATTGTACCGGTCTTAGCTTTCAGTAGGACACTTGCATCGAAAGAATAAGTGGAGTATTTAACTTCTTCATTTATACCAGCTAAATTTGTAAGTCTTAGCTTTCAGTCAATGGTGACTATTAAAGCATGGTATATTTCATAGTATTTTCATAATCCCTTTACCACCCTTCTTTTTATTCCTCATAGACCAAATTTAAAGTTCAAAACCGAAATTTAACATAGGAATATTAGATGATATATTGGTGAAATCCTGGTCGATCACAGGGACAATTAGAAATTTGAATTAATTGTTGCAAATGATGTAAGTAAGAAGGACGAAAGAAAAGATGAGATGATTAGATCTAAATGCTTAGTTTCACATAGAAATCATGACGAAGGTATTTTCACAATGAAAATATGGAGAGAATTAACATTAGAAGATGAATCAAAAGGTTAATCTTTTAATGACCAATCCTTGAATTAAGATTTCAAGTCAAAACTTTGAAAGCTTTATCAAGGTATACCGAAATTTAATTAATGAATTGGGATCATCAACATACATAAAATAGAAAGCAATAAGAGAGAATGGGAAGATAAACCTTAATTTACTCATGGAGATACCACACATACATCCATAAGTAAGATGGGAATGATTGATCCTTGAGAGGATTGTTCTCTTGTTGTTGCAATGACCATCACCCACCCCAGCTTGAGCGACCTTTATGTCACACGATGACGATAACCAAGATGCATCGGATCCTAAGGAGGATGATTCTCCGACAGTACTTTTTTAAAGGATAAAGAAGAAGATGAGAAATTCACTGTACTTCATGGGGTGAAAAGGAAGGAAAATGGACTCTAAACTCAATGCTTGCAAAACTAAAAATAGTAATATATTTTTGGAGCAAGGAGAATTGGAAGAACAGCTCTCTCTAAAAAGCTCAAAATATTCTAAGATGAACACGACTCAAACTAAGAAAGATCTTTACAACACATGCACTCTTGTCGGCTCTCCTTCATGGGAATTGTTGAGATACCTTTGGACAAAAATGTGAAGGCCTAAGTATAGGGAATGAAGGGCTAAATATAGGCATTCATGTTCCTCTAAAAATGTTAGCCAGGCTTTCATTGAGTGGCTGACTTAATTAGTCATGCCACCTCCTTCATCCAACCATTTTGACTCTCTACGCCACCTCCTCTCTTAATTTCTTATATTAAATAATAAAATTCACATGCGATACTTGGAGAGAAAAATATGTTATTACTTAACCTTGCATAAGATAACATAATATCTCACATAGTAAAATATATATTTCATTTATAACATGTTTAGTTTATGACTCATATATTTAAGCATAATTCATACCCAATATATGAAAACTAATTAAATCATGATAATGACATCATATATTTAATGCAGTGTATTATGTTTAAAAAAAAATCAAAAAGGCCTATATGATTCTAATTATGCAATATGAATAGAATATTATCAGTATGTAATTTAGAACTTTAGATAAGTAGATCCCAATCTAGACCATGATACAAAAACGTTGGATTAAAACATTAATGATGAAGAAACATGCTCCATTAGAATTTGATGTGAACATATGGTTATGAAAAAACTCTCCCCAGACATTAAAATTCATAATTCTGTATCTCTGATGAGTTATCTTATCGAATATAGAAGATATTAAATCAGAATCAAACAAAAAAAGATGAAATGCTTTTTTATTAACAGAGTATCTAGTAAATAATGCATAGTATTGTCCAAGCCTACCATTTCTTGTGAAACTCCAAGAAGTTACGTCAAAGATCACAAAATAAGGCTACAATGAAACAACATACTCTTACTCAAACATAACATTTTCTGTACTCCGACTGCATGTGGTTCCATATTGATTGAGCTAATGGAGTCTGAAGTTATATTTATATTAGTTATTAATAATATTGCACATGCCTAGTACAAATCTATTTAATGACATAAGGTAAATAGAAGCACCACATTCATAGGGAATCATTTTACATAATTTCTATCAAAATAATAACAAGTGAGAAACTTTACTTTCAAGGACAGTGACTAGGTATATGAATAGATTCAGAAGAGCAGTGGCAACATGAAAATGAGTCAATAGTTTTGACATCAGATTTACCATGTGAGGAAGCACTCTTATATTAATGAGAAAGATGACAACACTCTTTGATGTCTCTAACCTTGTAGAGAAGTTAGAGTTTTGATATTTTGGGCAACATTAAAACTGCAGGGTTTAGTAGTAACACTCCGAATTATTGTAGTATTGTGAAATAAACAAATTTTAACATCAAATAGTTGTGCTAGTCCACTAGGCTTAGATCATCTGCAGCAAACTAAGAAGAGGTGAAGCCATTTAAGAAAGATTCTAAAAAATACAGAACTTTGACATCTATTTTTCATAATACAAAGATAGCCAAAAGTCTCTAGAGAGGAAAGGTGAATAGATATAATGGCATGTGTCGAGGGAAAAATTAACCAGGTTCATTCTAAGAAAAGGTGCAAAATGGAGTCCATCCTTTGTTTGGAAAAGATGCAATATAAATAGAATAAATACAAGAAATTGAATGGAAATTGTAGATTGGTAGATATAAATCCTAAAAACTTAGTTATTATGATTACTGCATAAAAGTGACTATGATGCTGAACAAATGAAGGTGAACCAATGGTGTGAGGTTAATAACATGCTGAGTACATATATTTTAGAACGTTAATTCTTTGGCATATATACAAAAATATTTATTAACATTATCAATCATTCTAGTTATTAACTTTATGCGATACCTTTATTTGCATTAGTTCACTATAAAGATTATCATTGCAATATCACTACTTTATTAACCATATGGCTTACAATCCCAATCAACTCACTACCTTCTCAATTCCTAAGTACAATCACAGCTCTAGATTCATCACTCACTGCAACAATGATTACTGAAATTTAATGTCTTTTGTGGCTGATGTCCTGTTGATCTAGTTGATGGCCTTCACCCATTAAGCTTGGATTCAATTGTTGATGACTTAGGCAGCTTGGAAACATCAGCAATTCATGAAGGCTTAAGAACATTCACACAATTATGTAATCAATTTTGCGAATTTGATTAAATATAAGATCAAACTATATCAAATCATGAATGTTCAAGAAATGCATATCAATCAATTAGTTTGAATGTCTTTACATGCTTTGTTAACTTGTGTTCTTATTTAAAATAATTTTCCAATAAGTCCATGCATGCCCATATCTGCGATAAAAATTCTTGGTTAAGCAAATTCTTAAGCTGTTGTTCTATATTTAAGGAAAGTATTTCTTCAAGAATAAATGTCACTATATATAATTTTAAATCATATAGAATGTCAATAGAACCAAGTGTTGATAGCACTGTACACATTAACAATACATATTTTTAGTAAGGAAAGTATTTGAACCTAGATACCAATGGGTTAACTTTGGTCTCACAACATTTAAATGTATGCAAGATACCTAACAGTTGTGAATATCATAGCATATCAGTGAATATAATTTATGACTGTAGATAGGAATAGCTTTCATCTTATATCAATGAAGAAAATGTGTATACACAACATGGCTTTTTAATACCATAAATGAGTGATGACAACAAGTTGTGTATATTTGTTCTCGACACCTAAAGCATATCTAGGAAATGAATATACAACTTTTGTCCACGAAACATCATTTTTGTGCTTTGTAATGTCGTCACCAAACTGAGTTTGTGACAGTGTGAAGGTGTCAAAGTGCACGAATCGAGCATCTGCCCCATTGACTTCCCTCTCTGCCCCATAGTAAGTTGTGTGACACTTCTCTATCCACCCTCCAGTCTACTACACCCTCCAGTAAAATTGAGCATCTGCAGTATGAACTTCCTTCATCACCCCTCAAAGTACTCCGATTGGTCTCATTATTTCACTAGTGATTTAATGTGTTTTCTTACAATCGTGGTTGGAGACCTTAAGATTAACCAATTTTTTTAACATATTTTGATAATTATAATGAGTATCATACTTCAAGTGATTTTTTAAAACTACACGATCTGATCTTTCTATCCACGAGTGTATTTTAACTAGTTCAAGATATTTTCTCTATAATTCAATAGTTGTCTTGTGATATATATTGGACTTTATTTGCATTCATTTTCCACATCAGTCTATCCAATGAACGCCCTAAGCGTCAAAAGGCTGATCTTTCTCTCTATATAGTTTTAGAAGTCTTCTTCGCGTAGAAAAAACTGGGTTCCTCCTATGATACCTCAAATGTCATACCCTCCTATTGGCGACATGGGCCACTTGCTGTCTGAGGATAAGCTCAACAAAGAATGTTCCTAGAATGCCTTCAAGGCCCTGCCATAGCGACTAGTAGCATACTTCATTCTTCCCCATCCTGCAGGCATATCCATGGTACTTGTTTTTCCCCACTTACATTAAATACATCATCAGTGACAGGACGCCGCGGCCACTCATTTCAGCAAGAAATACGTCTTGTTCCGTCTTTCCAAAGCTGGAGGAGATGGGAATGGCATTCTATTCTTACCCGAGGCAAAAAGTTCAGCTCCATTTAGCATTCTACGGAAGAACTCTATGAGGTGCACCTCCCCCACCCAGCAGAGCATGGTAGCGTCATTACTATCACACAGCCTACCCTGTTCCTGCAACAAGTGTCGTTCGCTGCTAGTAGTCTTCACCATGAGGTAGTGCACACCACCCACAAAATCATGAGGTAGTGATAGAGAGAGAGATCCATAGAGAGTAGGTAGCGCACAGGGCGATTGAGGCTAAGGGTGCATAGTGAGAGATCCATCCAGATGGGCGAGGAGGAGGAAGACCATGAGGTAGTGATCAAAATCATGAAAAGATGGCTCACAACGGATGTGATTGCTGCGATGATCCATAGGATGATTATGAAGAGATACTACTTCACACCACCCACAAAAATCAGAGATCATTTTCAGAAACAGGGGCAGAGCGACAGACCTCTCAGGACTCCCACTGGTCGTAGCTATCTGTATTCTATTTCCATAGCACTTGCCCACCTTCTCTCTGATTAGCAAGGACCAAAGAAACTTTTTTCCTTTTTATCCTTTTGTTTTTTTTCCCAACAATGTCTGGATTCAAGAAAACGGAGCTGGCCCAAACCACAGGGAGATGGGTTCTCCTTTCAGCATCCCCTATGCTACGGAATAGAATACATGAGGAAGGAGTCGGGGGAGAAGGAGAAACGCCAGGTGGGTGGGCTCTGACGCAGCCCCCCCCCCCTTCCCCATATTCACACGAGTGAGAGAGAGCGAGAGAGAAGCCATGGGGGCTACCTGTACCTCAGACTAGGAGGGAGCTCGTGGTCGAAGAGTCTGACTTGGCTTTGGCCTGCTGGGTTGAGGTGGGGCGGCTGGGAGTTGAGCTGCTGCGCCTCCATCTCCATCAGCCTCGCAAACGGCTGGGGGCGGTGGCCGCTGATGCCAGCCGTCCCTAGCAAACAAATATACGGAAACGGGAGAGCGAAGTTAGTTTATTTTCTACTGGGTTAATGAAGATTGCTGAGCCCGTGTGGGCATATCTTCTAAAGGATGGGATTTTCTAATTTGAAGTACTCCAAGAAAGGAAAGAATACTTCCATTTTTTAGTACTGCCCAGAGAAATAAAATTGATAGAACATTGCGATAAAGGACAGATCAACATCATCGCAGCAATCAGGAGTTCCAAGAAAAGGAGTAACCACGCGATGAAGTATGGGAAGGATAAAAGAGTTTTATGGGGGGGAACTATGCGTCAGAGATATCCGGGCAATGCACCGCTTCATACTTATACTGAGATCAGATATTAAGAAACAAAAAAGAGAAAACAGAGGAGCTGAGATTTAGCAAGGATAAATCAGAATTCGCATTGTAATCCGAGGGATTTATTTTCTGATTTTGATGCAAGACCCTTGGATTCTGAAATGGGCTGATTGGGCAAGAAATCAAGCGAATCAAAATTAAACCAGAAAGCACCTTGATCATATCACACAACGAAAAGGATTCACATGACTTCAAATTATTTCAAATGCATAAACAAGCGAAAAAGCTGGCAAGAGAAAGATAATCACGGCTCTCAAGCTTGAAACAATCCATGCTAAGCTCAGACCAGACGCTCGAATAAATATAATACAACAGCAGTTAATCTGGTCATATGTTTTCCTCCATTGATCTTCAAATCAAGTAGAAGAGAGCAAGAAAGACATTCAAATATAGCAGTAAATAATGCACAGTGAGTAGAAGCTACTGAGAACGCTTACCAGGCATTTCCATTCCATAGCCGCCATGATTGAGATGCCCCTGAAAATTATGCATGGCCTCGTGCATAGAAACAGGCATACTGTTGACCGTGTGAGGTAGCGGCCCACCTCTTGGGAAATACTGAAGAGGGTGTGGAGCGAAGCCTCCTGGCATGGGCATGGGAGGGGGCGGGATTGGAAGATGGAAGTTAGGATCAAACCTCGGCCCCCCAGGACCATGGAAAGGATGGCGATGCACAACATTAGCAAGAAAACGATGTTGAGGATCATGATGGATATTTTCTGGACCGACAAACTTCATCTGAGGGGTACGGTTGGCAGGATTATCCAAATGGTGTAAATATGGTCTCATCTGATTAATCTGAGAAAAGGGGAATTGAGAAGGTGGTGACTGTCCATGCAAATGTTGGTGTGCAATCTCTGCCCAAGCCGCATCGTGTGGGCCGTGCACAGAAGCCTCCAGGACAGAAACAGAAGAAGATCTCTCATTATTCTGAGTCACGTCAACCTCATTGGGAATCCTCGGACCCAACATCTCAGACCTGGGTGTATTTTCAACATGAAAAATTTCACTCGTCGCTGGATTGGCACAACTGCCTAGAGAAATCAAGCTCTCCTCCTCAGGCAAGTGAATGCCTGACGATGATCCTTGTCCCGCAGCAGCATTGAAGTTCTTGACTCGAGACTGCTCCAGGTCTATCCAAGCCTCTCCAAGCGTGTGTGATCTTCTTCCTCCAGGAATGTCATTAACGTTCTCCTGCTTTGAAGCATATTCAGAAGGAATCTTAGTGTCTCCGAGTGGGTGGGGTATCGAATGGGATTGTGCCATAACTTGGTCATCAGCTAAGCGCCTCTGTCCAGAAATCGGGGCTTCTGTTGAATGCAGCTCCCTCATGAAGGCTGATCCGAACAATGCTTCAAGTGTCAGTGATTTTCCAGATTCAATGCTAACTGTTTCAGCATCATCTGGAAAATAACTACGAGCAGAGCTGAGAGAGACGTCAGCCTTTATCTCTCCAACATGTTTCCCTGAAGTGAACATGGCTTCAAGATTTATTGAGTCTTTTGACTGTGCGCCTTTCTGTAACAAAGACAGAAGATGTTCCGAGGCCTGATTGTCCACATTAGCCTTTGGCAGTTCAAGGTTTGGATTCAATGTGCTCAAGGGTTCTTGAATCTCGTCTGGCACATTGGAACCCATTCCTTTCACATCTGCCAATATAGATTGCTCAAGATCTTCGCAGGTAAGCATGCTAGAACCTGTCAATGGCTTGTCGCTGGCATAATAAATCTCAGAAATTCCGACTCCGTACGGAGTTTTGGTGGTGGCAACAAATTCCAGGCTAGTTTCAGTGCTTTCAGAAGACTTCGGATAAATGCGTTCATGGGAAAGAGTTGATACAGCAGATTCTCCTTTTTCCTTGCTAACAATCAGAGAAAGAAGCTCTCTAGATGAGAGATCCTCTGTAGGCCTTTTATCTGCACCAGAATGGAATGCTAAACATTTACGTATTGAACCATTTACATTTTATAAAGAACTGTCGCAAAGATGTAATACGGCGTCTGAAATTCATAAGCTTACCACCATCTTCTAGAAACCAACTTGCAAACTTTGAGGATTGAGAGGCACTCCATGTTGCCTCATCTAGTTCAGAACCCTAACACAGAAAATAATGGCGTTAAATAAAAATTTATATTAACAGTGGGAATTGGTACAAGGCTGGCAGAAAAAAATAATGAGCTAAGATTACCATGTAACCATACGCAGACACGGGCCCCCTAAAAGGAACTGCCTCATTTCCATGGGGATAATCTATCAGTATGATTACCAAAAAAAAACGAAACAATACTTCTCCAAGACACGTAATTTAATAAATTAGCGATCCTTCCATGATAAGCAACTACGCTTCTTTGTTTTCCTGATGTCTATCAACATTGGAACTCCTCCGATCTGTCCCCAAACCATATTAACCCATATGTTAAGATCACATGTTTGCTTTTGGCCAATTAACAAACCTTGCATAAAGGGTTTTTTCTTTGCAGAAATTTCGTCTATTTGTCCATTTTGTTGTGCTTCTTTTCATTTGGACAAACCTAAATCCAACAAAATGAGGCAGTACTATTTATGATGAACTTTCCAGCATTTTTCTGTACTCACCCTTCCATTAGATGGTTCAGTCATTCAAATTGAATATGTTAACATAGTGGATTAGATTCTATCTGTATCCAAACAGCCCAAACAATATTATATAGCCGAATGATTAACTGTCTGATTCATCAACCAACAATTTTATTCGAAAACATGAGTACCGCAAGAAACTAGTTAGTTCAATGTCTTTCATCCATCTCTTCAGTTCTCTACAACTCTTTGACTCTTCACACGAACAGTTTTCCACGGAAACCAAAGCAGTAACCGACATCCTATGGCTCAGCCCCACAACACTTACACTAGATGTATGAGTTTGGGGTTGAGATGTCCAATTGACTTCACGTATCCTACCCTCAATGTTTAAGTGATACCAGTACAGATTACTGTTAAACCACCCTTTTCCCAAACGGGAAAAGAAAACAAAATAATTAGTCAGATATCAAGAATGCATATTTTGCTGATATCTTTTGCTAAATAGCCCGCATCTTTTGCTGTAGATAGCAGCAAATCATATTTCTTGAAGTGGAGTGTCAAAAATATGTATTACATACAAAACACAAAAGAAAATAAGCGAACATGATCAGCATGCCTTCAACACTTTTGAGGCAACATTCAGTGGCTTAGACTAAAGAAGGCGTGACAGGCACCAACTCCCTTAAAATCGGGGGGTACTAGTCTTTATCACAGCCTGAAGCCCACACACTAACTGTAGAGCTAGAAGAAATGAGCACATAGATCATCGTGGTACAATCATTACATCTCTTTTTGAGCAAAAAATTCTAAACTCCTGTCGAATCAATATCATGCAGTCAACTTCGAAAAACTGAGTCATGAACCAACATCACACTGACGCAGTCGAACCAATTAAACTCCATATGGAAGAATAGTCATCCATCTTCGAAAAACATCCATATGACTCGTTCAATATCCAAAGGTATCACGCATCAAAACTGCTAATAACACATCAAATGACATCAGTCAACATAAGTCAGACAGGCAACCTCATCCCCACCATGCTTTCTTTAGTTGCCAAATTTAAATCTATAAGTCTCACAGACCAAAAGAGTCTCTTATCAAACTCAGTCAGCACTTAAAATCTGGCACCTATAGGCATCTACCACTGCTCGCATAGTTGAACAAACATTAAAATACCCTCTCAAATCATACAAAAAAATCACCCCTACTCTTAAGAGTTCACATAAATGTATCAGAGAAGATAATTTGATGAATCTCATGAATTTATCATGGCTCACGCCGGTTACTGTAATCCAATAGACACCATATTCTCTACTTCAACAAGATAACGTACTAAATTTAAGTGTTTTTGCACAACTAATATAGGATGCCCAGAGTTTGGAAGGCACACAAAAACTCAATTCCACAGAAGAGATAACTGTGAATCCTTATCACTGTCATGTTACAAAGAAAGTGTAGTTACTCCTGGCGGAATGTTAAGATCCAGGAATTCTTCTTCAAATCTCACTACTCTTTACGATTAAAGTAAAGTTCAACAGTATTCCTTTAAACTGAGAACATAATCATAGAAGGAAATCATAGGAATATGAATATTCCTAGCATATGAATATCATAGGAAGAAGCCGTAACTTCAAGTACCACCGTCGCTACACATGATTTTGTAAACAGTTTAAGTGTCGAAAGCAACCAAAATGGATAACCTTAAATATTACAACACCCAAAAAACGTATTTCAAACGGCATTTTCCTCCACCATTTTCACCAGGAACAGGTCCAGAGTAAATGCAAGCTTTGGTCAAAACATGCACAGCTCTTAGCAGGGTAGGTTATATCATCAAAACTCTAGCACAATGTTATTCAGCTGTGATCAGCACTCAGTCAAACCCTTCAGAATGAACTAATCCCAAACCAGAGAGTTCTCCCCCCAGGGCTGCAACTGTCACTTCCATATCTTTCTAACCACTAATAAGTCGTGCAATGTAAATTAATCATTCTTCAATAAATAGAGCGCGGAACATAACCTCAAGATGGCAGATTTTTCAGTTCCTTTCGCGCATTACTAAGGTACTTTGTTTAGAAATTTACTTCATGCATGCCAATAACGACAAAGACAAGAGAAAATTTATATGATTAAAGCTAAGAAATAAGTATGCATTATCAGCTCAAGATGAGAGAATAAAAACATTTCACAAGAAATCCACAAAATGTTTACATGGATAAGTTATAAAAGGCAAGGCACGAATTTGCTGCGGTAATGGAGATGATTTTAGCACCCTTGCAGCAGCTCAGTGTGAATATCCCCCACCACAAAATGTACAGATATGGATCGCTCTTTCTTTTACTCTGTCAGAGAAAAAGAGTTTCTTGGGAAAGAATAGCACAATCGGGAAACCAATCTCAACCTAAACAACTAGCATTTCCCCAAGCATCTGAAAGTTAATAAACCGCTAAAGTTTCCAACGAAACGGTAGTCTACAAAACGTTTTGGAAAATGCCTGAGAACTGATGGCGAAAAATGCTCTGCATCAAAACGGAAAATGCCTCAAAATGCCTAGCATAATTGCACTAGAACTAAGAAAGAAAGTTTTGATACCTCAACAGACTGTGTACCACCATTTTCTGTCATAGCATTGCCAAAAAGCTTGTTAAGAATTGATGCAGAATGAACTTGTCTGCTTGTATCAGCAACCTCAGCCTTTGTAATTTTCTCTTCATTTGAATCATTAGTCATAACTCCAGAAGCATCATACGAAGTGTGTTCGATGTGAACTGAAGGATCAGAGAATCTTAAGAGCGCAGATGGTGGCCCAAGGTCACCCATAAATGGAACAGAAACACTGTTGGGATCACGCTCAACAAAATGTGTATGTGAACCAGAATCGCTCCCTTTCTTTAGATTACTTTCTTCACTATTCACTGCCGAAGTGCCATTTGTTAAAAGAGAACTTTCATTAGTTCCTACATTCGTAACCTGAAGAGACAGTAAAGAAAACATATTGGGGTTCAATAAACAAATAGACAATTTCATCATCCACCAAAAAATGATTGATGAAAAAATATATTATGGACAATTTATATTGAGAGCAATCGTCAACATTATCATCATAATAATCCTCGAACCTACCAGCCAACATTATTCTATTACGATTAAAGAGGTAAACAATTATCTGCACGACGTTACATCCAAACTATCACCTTGTGGCAACTCTCCACAAGGTGGTGTTTACATCTGGACACCTAGGGATATGGCAACAGGTTCATCCAAAGCCACATAAGGCAAGTACCACAGTATAAAAAAAAACCATTTGTTCGGTGTGCATCACAATAAACTAGCATTTACATATCCAAGGTACTAAATCAGAAAAAAGGTACATGAGACAGACGAAATTATGTGCAGTGATAATAGTTTACATAACACGTTATGTAAACTTCAAGCATGGTACGATCAATAACCCAATGAAGTATATTTTGTTATCCAAGGAAATTTCAATTAATAATAATGTCACTTTAATAGACTAAAACATGCGAGAAAAAGGGAAGGATCTATAACAAGATATGTTACTTCATTACTAACATCCCCCTAGCCAGCATAAATTATTCCAGAATTAAGTTACAAAAATGTGGGAGACTAATCAGCACAATGACAATAGCACAAATTATCATATCCTGATCTGGGTTTGAGACATCTTAACCTAATGTGCTTCCAAAAGCATTAGTACAGCTGTCTCAAATTCTCGCATTACACATCTAAAATATGACAAGACCATACACAGCATTTACTGATTCAAATCATCTTTCAAAGAGAGGTGGGAGATATCAGCTGCACTGCGGCCAGATCGTCCACCATGTGAACACTCGAAAAGAAAGTGATATCAATCCTAGTGACCAAGAAAAGAAGAATGGAGCCTCTCCCATTGTCTCAGCAAAGAGGACTTCAGAAAACTCATCGCAGATGGCGCCCTAATTGACATGAGCTTTACATGGTAATGCCTACATCAGGTGCCGGAGGCCCATCTTTACAAACCCTGATTGCTGTGTGTGCTACATGATACGGCTCCATAAATCACGAGCATAAAGATATCACTCTGCCCTATGACACCTTTGTACCTTCCCCTAGATTGGATAACCAAACAAATCCTCAGATACATTCTCTCTACCAACAAGCAAATAGGAGTTTCCAAAACTGAGCTTCCATCATACGCAAGCAAGACTTTCAATAATCAAGCATTCTAAAGCATTAATTTCCACAGCAGTCCCACAAGGAACAGCTACTAAGGAATCGAAACAATTGTAAGCACCCTAAGGGCAGGCACAGGCATCCTGCTCTTGCTCAGTCTAGAAATACGGTTCGTACTCACAACATGCCACTCGTCTTTGCTTTCATCCTGATCTAGTCTTTCTTATCATACCAACATCCCCAGCAATGAAAAGACAGCACTTCTACATGGGACGCACATGTAATCACGGGACAAACCCACAATATGACTCCTTCAAGTTAAAACGGGGCGAGAGGAAATAAGCAACCAATCATCGTATTGCTCTTGGTGGAACAACACGGATACATCCTGCACAATAGCCCTCTGCGGTCAAAAAGAAATTTGAAAAAATTAAACGAGAATAATAAGTCTACGATCAAAGAGCAAGACTGCTTACCGCAGATCCAAGACCGAGGCTAGAAAGCTGCGTATTTATGCTTGTTTCTGTAATGGTGCTTCCAAAACCAGGTGGTACGAGTGGCCTTGATGCAGGGGCATTCCCAATCAAAGAACATCTGGAAAAATCACCCCTTGAAACGAGTGATGCAGCACTCTCATCATGTTTTTCATTATTATTAATTTTTAAAATTTGATCACATTCAGAGTTATCTAGTAGTGAACTGATGTCATTCTCCTCATGTTTTTCCGGTATTTTCTTTTGTTTCTTCTCTTGCAATACTTTTCGTTGTTCCATCCTCATCAATTCAAAAGATTCTGAAGAAAAAGATTCAAGTTATTCACAAGTCAAAATAATAAAGAGTAAACATTCTAAAGAAATAAGAATTTGATACAGTGCCGTCCGCTGTAGGTAATTTGAAAAAATCACCTCTTCTAATTCTTTCCTCTTCTTCTCTGTTCTGATTGGAAGATTCGGAGGAGCCAAATGTTTCATCATTGTAGGTGTCGGTACCATCTTTCCGAGAATACGACCCTGACTGAAGACAAGAGCATCAAAATGTCATTGCTGTCTGGTTTCATTGATTCACTTAAAACAGAGGCTGCCTTCTTTTGTCCAGACAACATTCATAAGGTAATAAACACCGAACTACTCAACAGGTAAAAGCCATACTTACACTTACCCACTGGAAAGGATTAACGATGACACATTAAAGTCCACAATATGAGAATATTTGGCACATCTATGAAATAGAGAATAAAGTACAAAGTGGAAATTAGACCTTATAAGGTCGTGGTGGTTGGTATGGTTCACTACTCCTGTTTAGCTGGTAATGACCTTCCCCTCTGTCTTTTGAAGCTGTGGCCCAACCCTGGTATCCAGAAGGTCTTGGAAAAACTCCACTTCCCAGAAGACCATCTTGCTCTGGTTTCTGCCCCAGCCTTCGATATTGGCTCACACTCCGTCTCCCAGAATCTGTGGAGACGGGAAATTAAGAATAGCCAAACAAAACCACCACTTCCATGAGACTGATTTCAACTAGGGAAAATAAGTAAGCAAGGTTCCAGAGACAGCTAGAGCATACTAAACAGAAATGTTTGCCAATAAATAGAGATCTTCTCCCAGTAGAATGATCGAAGAATGTTCGACAATGAGTTTAAAACTGACACCACGTAGCCAGGAAGTAGATTTTATTACTTTCACATAGAATTTGAGCAAATCCAGGTATTGGAGAATTCAATCAAACACAACTTTAATGTCAAAAATCTGCTTGATGACCGGAACAACAGAACTGTATGCTGCGAAGTTACATTCCAGAAAAGACAGCAATGTGCCTTGAAGGACATGTGGCGGAAGGCTATGTTATGAAAGTGCCAGGCCAAGAGTAGTACGAAAATATGTGTAAATCCTGGCAAATCCTCGTATCTCACCCTTTAAGAGAATAAAGGAAGTAAATTCTTCAGGGAAATTATGATTATTCGTTGTCAGTGGTGACTTTCTGGAAAAACCCATATACCACCACAATTAATATGAAAAACGAAACGGATATGCTAGAGAAATTACATTATTTCCTCTGTCAAGGAATCTACAACTGAAAGGAAAGTGGATAAAAGAAGAGTGGACAAACACAGGTATCATGAATGCATAAACAAATTTCACAAAAGTTGTAGAAGCTCAGTCCTCTAGAGATGATTTTGAGAAAGTTTTACAAGGCCAAATGAATGGAAACCTGACATTAATTCACAACTTTGGAGTAGTATATGTTATGAATGAAAGGTGTAATGAGACTAACATCCTAACATATCACGTTGAGGATATAAGATATTAGATCAAAATTCTAGTCAGATTTTGGAAATGCTTATTAAAGAAATGGAAGAACAAGAATGCACTGAAAGCCTGTTACATAGTAATCTTGCTTGTGACAAACTGTGCCCTGTTAACAACCTTATTTGAAAATACTAAATGCCCTCAGAATGGTAATAACGCAGGTAAAAACACAATGTTTTCAGTGATGAGAAGTCGCAACAAAACTAAGATATCAGCAAAAATTCTGCAACCTGAACTTAAACCTCACATACTGAATGGCATTGTGTTACACCACATCATTAAGTCAAAAAATGTGTGCTGAACTTCAAACGTACTGTTGTCAATAATGCAGTATTGGTATAATCTTCAAACCTCTATCATGGGATAGCATTGCCACAAATGCACTCTGGGTATTGAAAGTCATCTCTAGCCCTAAAATTCCACCAAACATAATTTTCAGCATTCTAATTAAATCAATAATACATTTTACTAAACTCATTCATTGAGTTTTCAACATAATGAAAGGTTTCTACAGAAGTGGTGTCGTCACATACAAAGAGTTCAGGATTATCCAAAAGGGTATGACATCTTACTGGTAAGTGTCAGAATGTGACAAGGTCACAGTATTGGAAATTTTCAGCCTATAGTCAAGTGCTGACGGGGAGCCAAAGGGGAAAAATATACCCTTCAGAATTTAACTCAGTCAACTGGAAGACCCAGAAGAAAAGGTTCAAGGGGTCTTGCCCAATCTAATGAGAAGCATTGTATCAAGACTAAAAGTGTCTCCATCGGTGGGGTAAGTTTTGATTTGTGCAGCTTTGACTGTGGCAGACTAATCTAAAAGAGTGAGAGAAAAAGTTGATAACACAGTTTTTTTCTGTCCTCCACCATTTTACATGCATAACTGCAGTGAAAAGAGTCACTATCTAGAGTTGGCATTGCAATTAAACCTAATACATAAAAATTCGGACTCCAATGCAAATGACATGAAGGATTTAAAGGGGTGCACACCAGGTAAGACTAAGTCATTATGAATATCTCTGTCTGCTTCAAGATTATTATTCTCATATCATCTGTTACGAAGTTACTAATCATTAAATGTGAATTTGGACTCTGTATCCTGTCCTCCCATTATGCCTATTCATTCTTCCCAGCCTTGGGCCTTCATTCTCAATCATCTATCAAAAGGGATCCTTTCTATTTTATCACAGGAAAGGAAAATTCACAAAAAAGTCACCCTTTCTAATTCTATTTTAATTACAGGTTTTTAGACACGTTAGAGATTGAGCGATAAACTTTGGCTGTGCTTTTCAACAATAGCTTTTACAAATTCAAGTTTTCAGGAAGGTAGTTATAGGTTATAAACTTCCACTTTAAATCATGCGAGCTCATAAATATTCCAAAAAGAGGAAACCTTTATTTGCAAAAGAAACCATCAGTACTCAAACTGACTGGGAAGTCTTGACTTTGAGAATTTGAAATCAGCCAGATGAACATTGTGGAACCTCAATGTTGCTTCATAAGTTAAATGGTTTCATAGAAAATATTTGATTAAAAATAAAGCATTCCATGTTGTTCAGTGACCGAAGATACCTGACATTATTAGCACCTTACATACTACAACTTAGAAAAAAAAAAAGTGGAAACATGCTTTGATGGCAAAGTTGGCACCACTACAACGAGAAGAGACATGAAAGTATACTCTATGAAGGTCCGATTTCAAAACGAATGCGAACAGAATAGCTGTCTGTAAAGTTTGAGTACGAGGAGTAATTTTAAGTGTCAGATAGAAGAACCTTGACTGAATGTATCACGATCAGACAGCGTATTCCCATCCTTGTCGCTTGACCCACTTGAACGTGTGTCCCATCGAGTATTGTTTCCTCGAGAATAGCCTTCCACTCTACTAAAGGACGAAGGTCCATAGTCGCTGCGTTTGGACGTGTGCAATGACGAGCTTCCCAGACTCCTCTGCCACTCGAGAGAACTATTGGCGGGCTCCTCGATTTCACTGGTTTCAAGGACCACTTCAGAGTGAGTCTGCTTCCACGACATGACAGATAACGCCGAGGAGGAGAGGTGAGCAGTAATTTGTACCTCAGAAGAGACGAATCGAATCCAGCAGGTAACCTCTTGCAAACGTCCTTTTCACGCAGGGACAGAAGGAAATCTCTTGAATACGAAAGCATCGGTGCCCTGAATTATCAATAAAAATGGTAACATATCGGCGAGCGAAAAAAGGTTGAACATATCGGCATGATCGAGTGCCGCAAGAATGAGAGCTCATACATTCTGGGCTCATGCTGGCTTTCATCGGCAAACTTTCTTGATCCCTGCAACAGCTGATCAGTTCCTTCTGAACTCATTCCCTGGAAGAAACAGACCGCTCCTCGGCTCAGATGACAGCAAATCGACCAACAGAGAGATCGGAAGAAGCGCGGTCATGCCAAAACTTTTAACTCAACGGCCACTCTGCTCGCAGAGCTCCTCAGTCTGAAAAACCCTCGTCGCAAAACCGTGAAAATCGACCTCGAAGACCTCACGTACACGAAGATGGTAGAAGAAGAATTAGGAATGGAACGTCGAAAACATCGGGATCAAACTGCGGAGCATGCTAGGGTTTCCCCCCAAACCGCTGTGGGATCCGCAGGGAGACGGCCCGACTGGGGGTGTGGAGATGCGCCTACCTCGAGAAATCGCAGGAGAGCCGACTTCGAGGAGTCACACAGAGACCATCGGCCCTGGCCACTTGAAGGAAACACGGAGCGAGAAAGAGAGAGAGAGAGAGAGAGAGAGAGAGAGGAGGGAGTAGATAGATGATCCTACCCTACCCTACCCTGAGCTGCGGAAGGTCGTCAGGTGCCCGAGAAAGAAACTGATCTCCCCCCTTCCCGTGAGTAGGTTCGCGACAGGCCAGTGAAAATGGAGCATTATGGAGTAGGCCAAGTCGCAATTTTCCTTCCCAAAGTGGGCACGATTTTCCTCCCAAGGGGACTTCAGAAACCCGTCTCCCCCCCCCATCTGAATACCCAAAAAGCCCTCCTGACGGCCTTCATAGTTACTACCTCCCAAATCTATCTACTTCTCAGAAGAATCGACCCATGAGAGGGCACGCACAGAAGAGCTGTCTTCTTCGTGACCTAGCAATTTGGTACTCGTCATTCAAAGAGCTCGAGATATCCACCCTCCTTTCTGCTCGTGGCTCGTCTTCTTCTCCGGAGGAGGATGGAGAAGCAGAAGCAGGAGCAAAGCTGGACGGGGGAAAGTGAATCAGGCACAAATTCTGACCATTTTCACGGCGTGGATACAGATTCAGAAGCCAATACGCACCAAAAGAAATAGGATTCGCGAGGCACTTGCTCGTGTGCGTACCTTGTTCTAGATGTAATCACCCCTCACGATCTTCTGTGCGACGTATTTCCCCAAGAAGCCGAAGCCGCGATAGTAGAGCGCCTCCATCTCCACCCGCTTCCCCATCGCCGCCATCATCTCCAGCTCCGCCCTGTGCGGCCCCTGTAACCCCCAACAAAGAAGGAGCTCAGCGGTGGATCTGCTCCTCCATCCTCGTCCCATTGAGACAAGTTTACGTCCCACTCACCGGCAGCATCCTGGATGACATCAAGCTCCTGGATATCTGCAGATCGCGAGCCGTCAGGTCATTCATTGCGCTCACTGGTAGACTGGGCAAGTCTTCCGATCTCAATCCCAGCCATCTGACATCACAGGCTTGAGAAGAAGACGCAGGAGGGGATGGATTCGCTGCGATCAGAGCTTGTTTGATCACACTTGTTTGAATGACGAGGTGCAATTGGGATATAATACCATATCTGTACGCCTCCAGCCCCATGGATGCGCTCCCAAACTTGTAGGTGCATAGGATTGCTACTCCGGCCGGGTTCCTACGACGTTGACATGAAGAACACGGAGGGAGCAAATATAAGTCAACGGAAAAAAAGAAAAAAGAAATAAAAAGTGAAAATTGCGTACCAATCTACCAATGCCAGGATCGGTAGTCCAGAAAACTCTCGAGATAATCTGTGCAGAAGAAACCTGCTACAGAGCCACGGATGAGTTTGTTTGCATTGCTTCAGGCGGGGCGCTGCCCCTGACGTATGAAAATCATTCTTTCATGCAAACGGAATGGTTAAGAATATTGATGATGATTCTTCCATGCATCAGGATATAATAATATATTTCTATAATTTACCCATGAAAATCTCCTGAATAATATCAGAAACCCAGAAAAGGGTTCCAGTGCCCAGAAAGTTATATGCCAGGAGTCTGCACAGGCGAAGAATGCGCTGAATATGCGATGTAATCTTCTGTCCAAGGGGGGCTGATCAGGTGCAGGTGAAAAGCTCTTATCGCACCATTCAGAAAGTTTAAGCCATTGTAGCAAAGCTCAGAGGTATGCAGACAATGCATGGAAATCCAGATCATGCCGCAGAGATGAATTTAAGTACGTAATCGCGGCTGCTTGTTGGCTACATAAGATTGGATAGAGGCGAGCATGAAATCTACAGGCTCTGGTTCAACGTCGGAAGAACAAAGCGCCAAACAGCGAATAAAAAAGCATGTTTTCATGTAAATTCTATGTTACCCAGATGACTTCGCCGGTTTACATCCCATGGGTCTACCCCTGCTTTTCTGTTCTTGCATTGATCTGAAGGGTACCAGTTCTAAGAACTAATAATATTCATAGATCCTAAATCTCGTCTAGAAAAAGTGTCTCCAAGAAGCTCCTCCATGAAATTCAATGATCTCTCTGCTTTCGGGTCACCCGGTTCATTCATGTACTGTACGGTGTGAATGTCTCGCATTAAACCGACTAATGGAGGTCATTATGTTACAGTAATAATGCCGACCAGTTCTAGGAATAGATAGAAGTTCTTTGCCTAAAGAAAGCAGAGTAATCTCTGCGATCACCACCACCACCACCACCACTTCCAAACCCCAAATGTCAGAAAGCAGAATCAGCAGGTACCTTGTAGCCATGTCTGGATATCCCTTGGCTGTGATAAGGATGCTGGGAATCTGATTGAAAATCTGATCCTCCACGAGTCGTTGGAAAATAGCGTCCTTAAAGTGATCCAGAATGGAAACACCGTCAGCATGAATCTCTGTTAAATGCGTTAATTTTTTAACGCGCATGAACTAAATTACCTTCTCCAAAACGATGATGTACCGGGCATCAGAATGAAAAATGAGTTTTTGCAGCAAATTAAGGTCACCACTTATAGCATATCCAGCAGACCCAAGAACCGAGCAATCAATAACGCCTGTCTCTGGGTCCTTGCAGTCGCAGCTCGTCGGGTAAAGAGATAAGACATGGCAATCAAGGAAAAAAAATACTAGAATGCCGTAGCTTTAGTAAGCACTTCTGTCAAATGCTTTAGAGCAAATCGATATAGGCTTTTCCGAGAAAGCATTTGACTTATAAGCCCATTTTCCAGTTTATCCAAGATAGAAGAAATTGCAGCATTAAAAATAAATATGATCAAATGAAAGAGAGCTACCAGTAATTTCAAGCGTCCAGAAATCGCCCCTCGGCTGGAGGCCATGATTCCTAAGCTCTGGCGAGTGCAATGGAGCAGGGCGACGAGATCTGCAGTAAAAGGTTAGTACAGGTTCAAGCGTGTAAGATTGTCATGGATGAGGATTATGTGCTACAAACAGGATCAACATGGAAAGAAATCAGGAAAGAGAGGGAGTCGAATGAAAGAGAGAGAAAATGAGGCATTGACCTTGCACAGCCATGTTCACTTGAGCTTGAGAAGTAAAATAATCAGGAGACTCACACAAAAGCCTATAAAACAGCTCCCTCTGAGTGACCTGCTTCCCCCTCTCCAGTACTTGGAAACAGAGTTCCATGGCCTTCCACACTGCAATAAAAGGACCCTAAAAGAAATCTACGCACTACCTCTTTGAAGCGAAAATTTATAGACAATACATAATATTCTTTTCCCAGCAGCATTACCTCTTATAAAGGCCTTGGCTTCTTTGGTTCTCATTAGAGACCTCTTACAAAATGAATGAGAAAGGAAGATCGAAGACACATCGTTCACTAGCCCTTGGCGTAATCCTGTATTGTCTAGTCGCCTCTTTATCTGCATAAAGGAAATAATGCATGATCCGGGTAATTGAGAATACAATAAAGGAAGATATATCGAATTTTTACGGTACGGTAAGCAGCATCATGATAGAAAGAGAGAAACCAAAAACGTATCCATCCTCTTTTTACTTCAACGGTAATGGTGATACAAAAATAAAAATGTCAAGATATATACGAATCTACTCTTTGTAACTGTTCGGAATCACCGTCACAGAAAACTCATGAAAATATGGAACTACATCCTGTGAATTCCATCCCACCTAGAGAACAGTCCTAATTGCATTCAACTAGAAAAGAGGTTGATCGCCATACATATTCATATATTATTCCATAGCTTCTACTTTGACTTATTCACTTTAATCGCTATACAGATTCAAACTACACGGTCAGTGTCGCCACAGCTTTGTCATTAACGTTTCTCGGAACTGACTTCAGGTCTTTTAAAGTCAGGCATCCATTTCATTACAAAACAAACAGACAAATCCTAGATCTTGACGTTTCATTATGCCTAATCACTACGTCATAAAGGACATCAGACAGTACATTAGACAAATCCAGATGCGTCTTTTCTGATGTCATAATACAGACAGTGCATTCTCAATTTTCAAATAAAAAAAAATCTTGAGGTATTTTGGTCGTCTTGTCCCTTTACCAAATTTCCTAGTATTGTATCATCTGTTTACCACATTAGATCCCCATCTCTTTTCCTTCTTAAAACTTGTTGACCAATAATTAAACAAAAGATAAGGCTTCAGGATCCCGGCATTTCCATATAGACCTAGAGGGCACCCATACTATAACTCTTTCACCACGCACTACTTTTGCATAAGTTCACCTTGCTTATGAGTACATGTATAAATTAGGAGAAGTGGGCCAAAACAATTTACTTTGCATTAGCCTCTAGATGAAAAAGTATACAACAGGAGAGTCGTTGATGATGAAAGCACAACGGAGAAATCAACCAGATGTTATGATGCCCTCATCAATAACAGATTAATGTTAAATCCTATCATGTCAGCAAAAGCTTACCTGCCCCAAATAGCATATCTAGTATCCCCTAAAGCTATCATTGGCATGGCAACCCAAAGGTTTCGGTTTCCAGGAATAGTGAAAGAGTAGGACGACAAGATGTATGGGACTGGAGAGTAGATCTATGGCCGCGGCCAGCTGGTACATGTCAATTACATTGACACAGGAACACCCTATGCTGACGCCCTCCGCCGGTTACCATTGCTGAGTCCAACTACAAGCGAGATATGTTATGAATTGAAGTGCAGGATGGTGGCACCGCATGCATGAATCGACGTCGCTACATCTACATAAGAAACCACCTGGGGACTTCCCTCCACCTCTAAATGCAAACATCTAAATGCAAACATCTACTACACAACATCTAAATGCAAACATTCGGTCAAATAGACTTCGGAGTTGCTGTGCCTCCTCAATGCGATGATCATAATAGCACTAATTGTTATAGAGGTCTAGATATAGAGGTAATGTTAGAAGCCAATGTGCTAAAGATATCGTTGGTATAGAGGTAATGTTAGCAGCTGGGACATTGGAGAGTTGCTTCAGAAGAAATTCTCCTAATTGTCAGCACCATGTATTATAATAGGACGTTGGATTGGTAGTATAACACGCAACACCCATGGAACGCGAATGATGCGAGGAATTCCTCTTCTGGGCCCTCGATATCATTTTGATTATCAACACGTTCCATGGGTTTATCTTTTGATAATATTGATCTGCTGTGGGCATGCAGTCTGTCCTTGCGACAATTTTTAAATCATCAAGGCAATTGTGTGATCCATAATGATACAAAATAGAAACGCAAATAGGAAAAACACTCAAATGCGTGCGCAGCAATGGTGATACCTTCTAGACAGCATCCATCTCAAAGATGAGTCCATCTGTACGACATCTAAATATCCGAACGAAGGTCCAGCCGGAAGACAGACCTTAATTCTAAACACCGTACGCATAAAACACAGACCTTAGACGATGGTATGGAGACTCGGCAAAGAACTTCAGCATTCCAGTTTCCATTACTGTCGGCACAGTCATGCTAAGAACCATCGCTAAGAATAACACTGCTAAATACGAGACATCAGGATGCAGAAAAGGAATGGAGATGGGAGGTAAACCAGGGATAGATGGGGGACGGCCGGCGAAGGAGACGTCAGGAACTCGAGAAAGTTCAGGACAGAAACCTCCATTCTCGCACGGACCTGACGCGGATGCCAGACAGAGGGAAAGTCAGAAATATGGAGGAAATCATCAGACTGTGGAGAGGAGATATACAGAACGAAGCTCTGGAACTCACGGATTGCCATGGCGAGTTAAGGAATTTCACAGCCACCGGGAATTTCCATCCATGTAAGCTATGGAGAATCCATTCAAGGTCAGGAAATCAGTTTTTCCCCGTGGATTCGCCCTCGCTGCCTCGGATGGGAAGGCCCCCGGCAACCGCGGAATTCCTCCACCCGGCTTGGCACACATAGTAAAACTCGGAGAGAGAGGCATAGTACCTCGGACGAGGGAAGAACGTCTGCGGAGCAGAGGCGCTGGTCGCAGCGAAATATCGAGGATCCGCAGAGGTCCGTCTCCTCCATGGAGCTCTGCGCTCTCTCCCGCCGTCTTCCTCTCGACCGTTCGTTTGTCCCTGTTCCCGCGCAGGGCGTTCACTCTCAGGGCCAAAAGGGTGGTGGGCCTTTGTAAATACTGGGCCTTTGCAAGTAGGCTTCGCGCTGCAGGCAAAAGGGCAGTGGGGCGAGTCCATTCCCAAACTCTTGGCCCTTCGCGTCTCATCTGACGGCCCTGTTTTTTCCTGGGCACAAGATTTAGGTGATTTGAAGAGTGATCCTGAGCCTGTGGTCCCGTAAGCCCTTGATGTTTTCTTCTTGCACAGAGAATTCTCTCAGGCTACAAGTGCCTTTGGTGATCCCATATTTTATATTATGTTTTAAAATAAGTACGTTAGAGATGAATTATAATAATTTCTAATGCAAAATTTTACTACAAGATACATAGTTGAATAAGAATGCAACCTGGTAGACCCCTATACAACTCACCACATAGATAGTTGAACTTGAGTGCTTTTGATCTACCACATCCACGATGTAACTCTAGTAGGCTAAAATCTCTACAAGTTCATAGAATGGACTACAATCATGAGACCATTTCATACCTAACCTGCCAAATAACAAAACACATTAGAAAAGAGTAAGAGATTTACTTTCCCACTTTTAATATGTTCTCCCACATTAAGTTTATTTTTAATTTCAATTTATTTAAATGAAACTTCCTTTTTAGGAGTGCATAATAGAAACTTAGTCTATTTAAAGCCCCCCATGCTGTATTATTTAGTATCCTGAAAATTTTTCCATATCATGAGATTCTATCTCTTGTGGATTCAAACCTCTCTCATATGGATTCAAGAGATTCTTCTTATGTTATGGATTCAAGATCGCATCCATGAGGATATGAGGATCAATGTTTTAAATTATAAGGATTCCAGACAAGGTTGTTATCAGAAATTTCATTTATTGTGGACTCAAGGATGAAATTTTTTATCCACACAAATTTGACTGGATCAACTCTACACACCTTCGTTTAGGTTTGGATCATTTTCAACATACCTTCAATAGCAAGTGTCCGTTTCTAACTTATTCTTGCTTTAATCAGGTGAGAACCATGTGAAAAATAGGTGAAGCAACCAACCTTCGTTCCTCATGGAGAATTAAAACTGCTTCTACCTTGCAAAACCAACTTATAAGGTTCTCACTTCTTTTTAAGCTTATTTCATGCTTATTCTTTGGGGTGGCTGAGATTACAACAAGGATGATCAAATGCATAATTAGGCCTCCACTTTTTATTCTAAACCAAATAAAATATTTTACAAAGAAGTATATAATTATACTATATTATATTTTAGTAACTGTTTTTTCAAAAATATTACCATATTGTCATGTACACCTTCAGTATTTGTTTGTCATCTTTACTTTTCATGACAACTACAAATGTTGTAGTTGATTGTTCATAACGTTTTATTATTATAAAATATCAAAGGTAAAATCAAGATATTTTCTGCATTAATTAATTTTAAACATGAATTAGTAAGGTTAAAGTACGTTAGTACTTGTTTGAGAATCATGTGATGAATTTATGTTTAATTTGGTAATTTTTATAATTTATGTGATATGAATTTCTGATTTTTAATCCATGTACTAACATGATTATTCAGGACTTATAATCTTGAAAAAAATATTAATATTCAAAATGAATTAATCATGAAGTTAAAATTAGAAAATATATTTTTTTGAACATTTTAAGAAATTTATGAGGACATTTTTCTAATAATTTTAAACTTATCAAAATAATGAGGAAAAAATGCAGTGATTCATGATCATAACAACATGAGGATGTGTCAATTTTTTATGAATCATCTCAACATTTTTATGCCACATCATCTATGTACATGTCAGATAACATGCGAATTTTGCATGTTAACTTATGACATAATTTGGACAATTAATGCTTAATTTTGGACAATTCTGCATGCTTAAAATAAGTGGAACATAATTTATGATGAATGTTCTAAATACATGCTTAATTTTTTGGATTTTCTATATTTTCTATAACATGTGTATTTATTTATTTATATCCTTCACTTGAATAATAGTTATAAATAAAATTTCATTTGATGTCTAAAGTATGATTTGAATTTTTTCAAATGATTTAATATGATAAAAGTTTTTTTTACTGAATTTAAGATTTTTTTCGGATTTTTTTGAGAATTAGAAGATTTATTTTAAGTTTAAATTAATACTCTAAAGGTTTTTCTATTTTTCCAGAATTTCCTATTAAATCCGAATTAATATCAGCACTTTGACTCATGATTATTTAAATTATAAAATATAATCCATATAATATTTATAAATTATTATGTATCTCTTAAGCCCTAAGTCAACTCATGTATAAATGAGTTTGGATTTATCATGTTGTTTTGTGCCTTATGCCTAATTTATTATATTTATTTGTTTAAAGGATAATGGGCTTTATTTTAATATTATGTTTCAGGTCATATTAGGCCCATGGGCCAACTGGACAGCCCACATTAATTAAGGAGGAGGCCCAACACGTAGGAGGAGTTTTCTCTCCCCTCAAACTAAGGAAACTACCCACTTAAGGTGGGAGGTTCATTTCTTCCTTCATTAGAGGGAGGGGTATGTGGCACCATCTGATCAGCCACGCCCCTCTCCCTCATTCAACAACCCTTGGGACTGTCTCAGCCCCTCAATCAGCCTAATCCAAGGGCTGAAATAAGTCCTAGGGTGAGGGAAGGAGAGGAGACACCCTAGCAGCCGCCAACCTCCCTTAGGCTGCCCTTGGAGAGATAAATCTAATCCAAGGGCTATGCACTCTCCCCCATGATCCAAAGGCTGAGAATGATTATGACCAAGGATATAATAAATAGCCATCTAGAGTAGAGAGAAGCCATTTCGTTCATAGGAGAGGGGTGCCCAAGAGGGTGAAGAAGATATCTCCAACAACTTCACTCCTTGAGGTAATTTAGGAACTCCAAGGAGGGATCTGTTTGAGTACTCCAAATGACATACAGAAGGCATCTTTCATATATTTGGTTCTTTAATTTTGAATGAATGAATTTATTTTCTTATTACATCCTCTTTTTCTTGAGACCCTTTTGGTGGGAAAGAGTTGATACGGTTGAAGAGTATGTAGGGATTCGATTCTTTGATCCCTAGAGTGACAGTAAGTTGATCCTAAGATAGAATCTAACCCTTTTACCCTTCTCTTGCTTCTCTTGATTTATGTGGATCTCTTGATTTATTAAGATTGATCACATTTTCAAGATTGAGCAAGGTAGCACAGATTTAAGATACTTTAAATCCTTCTTTTAATCCTTCTCCTTCTATGTTGTTTTGCTCCTTTAATTCATCAAAGTTGAGCATTCATTAGAGGTATAAAGTGATAATGAAAAGTTAGAAAGTAGTTTAGGAGTAGATTAATCTTTTTTAGTCTTTCTATTGATCTCCTATATGACATAAGAAGATCTAGGAAAATTTGAGTTTGTATTTAAGCACATTAGGATTAAGAAATTCACAATTATCCCAAATTTCAACTTTTGTTTCTCACCTGATTTCCTTTCTCTTGGTGACTGAAAAAATAATCAAAAAAAGATTTATATTCCCCTCTTAGTGTGGCTAAGTCAACTCTCTTCTATCTTCTCATCTCATTCTTCATCAAAAATTCAATCTTGATCAGAAGTTAAATCTCACCTTAGTTTAGACAATTCCTTGTGGTTCGACTCATTCTTTAGTATCATTAGAAAGATATTCAAATATTATAAATTTATGTTTGACACTCCTTAATTATGATGTTTTGGAGAAATCAATGTCAGATTTCATGCTCTATTTTGGGTAGTAAAATAAATAAGAAGAATTCATAATTTCTTGATGATTTTTGAGATATTTTTGGACAAAAATGAGAAGGAAGTCCAACGAATGTGGAAAGAGGCTTTGAGATGATAAAGTGCAAAAGATTTGTTCAATTTTCAAGCTTTTCAAGCCGAGTTCTCACCAAGTGATAGGTGGATACAAATAGAACGACATTGGACATCTATAATTTCTTTTGATTGCATTTTATTTTCCTTTTTTGTAATCCATCATCCAAGTGACATGTAGACAGCAAGATTAAGGCTTTGATTTATTTGACCTTGAACAGCCATGTTCACTTGAGCTTGAGAAGTAAAATAATCAGGAGACTCACACAAAAGCCTATAAAACAGCTCCCTCTGAGTGACCTGCTTCCCCCTCTCCAGTACTTGGAAACAGAGTTCCATGGCCTTCCACACTGCAATAAAAGGACCCTAAAAGAAATCTACGCACTACCTCTTTGAAGCGAAAATTTATAGACAATACATAATATTCTTTTCCCAGCAGCATTACCTCTTATAAAGGCCTTGGCTTCTTTGGTTCTCATTAGAGACCTCTTACAAAATGAATGAGAAAGGAAGATCGAAGACACATCGTTCACTAGCCCTTGGCGTAATCCTGTATTGTCTAGTCGCCTCTTTATCTGCATAAAGGAAATAATGCATGATCCGGGTAATTGAGAATACAATAATACACTAATACCGTGACCTTTTATTACGCCTAATCATTACATCCTAAACAGACGTCAGATGGATTTTTTCACAGTCAATTCTCAATTTTCAAAGAAAGTTTTTTAAGGTAATTTGGTCATCTTCTCTCCCTGACAAAATGTCCTATCACTGTATCACCTGTTTTACAAATCAAATCCCCATCGCTTTTCTTTCTTAAAACCTGTTGACCAGTAATAAAACAAAAGACAAGGTTTCAAGAACCTGGCGTATCTACATTGACCAAAAGGCATCCCTACTATTACTCTGTCATCACACATTACTTTTGTATAGTTCACCTAGCTTATGTTTACAATTATAACTAGAAGTGGACCGGGACTATTAACTTTGCATTACCCACTAGATGCAAAGGTATACGGCAGTTGATTCATTGTTGATGAGAGCACAACAGAGGAAACAACCAGATGTAATGATTATATAGCCAATAACAGATAAGTGTAAATCCTATCCGGTATGTGTTAACTTTCCTGGCTCCAAATAGCATACCTGGTACTTCATAGTACCTAGCAGCTATTATTGGCATGACGACCCAAAGTTGGCTGGGAATATTGAAATAGAAGGACGAGGAAATGTATGCATCAAGGAGTCGACCTATGGCCATGGCCACCTGGTACATGTCATTGTCACTGAGAAAGAGCCACTCTATGGTGATGCTATCCATGGTCACCATTCCTCAGTCCAACTACAAGCGAGCCATGTTATAAAATTAAGTTTAGTATGGTGGCAATCCCTGGCATGAATTTATATGACTACGCATGCGGACAGATGGGAACTTACCTCCACCTGTTCTACGCATCATCTAAATGTGTCCATTCCGCCAAACAAACCTCGGAGTTGCTGCGTCTCCTTAATGCGATGATCATAATAGCACGTAGCAATAAAGATTTCATTAGTATAGAGGTAATGCTAACAGCTGGAGCAGTAGAGAGTTGCTTCAGAAGAAACTCTCCTAAATGTCAGCACAGTGTATTATAATAACACGTTGGATTGGTAGTATAACATGCTCCACCAGTGGAACGCTAATAAGGCCAGTAATTCGTTTTCTGGGCCCTCGATATCAGTATGATTATCCTCTTGTTGCATGTCTTTATCTCTTGATAATGCCGATCTGCTGTGGGTCACGCAGTCTGCTCTATCAAAAATATCATCAAGCCTAATGTTTGACGCCTAATGTTACAAAACAGAAGCGCGAGTATGATAACACTCAAATGCGTGCACAGCAATGGTGATACCTTTTAGACAGCATCCTTGTCAAAAGATGAGTACATCTGTATTACTCTAAATGTCCGAACGAAGGTCCAGCCGAAAGACAGACGTTATGTCTAAACAAACACCTTCGCATAAAACACAGACCTTAGACCATATCATAGAGACCCCACAATAGAAATTCAGCTGTCCAGTTTCTGTTACAGTCGGCACAATGATGGTAAGAACACCATCGCTAAGAATTACACTGGTAAAGATGGGACATCGGTGAAACGATTTCGAGCTGCACAATGATGATAAGATGCAGAAAAGGAACCGTGAAGGAGGTAAACCGGGGATAGATGGGCGAAGGTGACGTCAGGAACGTGAGAAAGTTGACTGGAACCTCCATCCTCGCCCGGAACTGACGAGAGAATTCTACCCGTGGATTCTTCATCGTTGCCCTTGATTCTTCCACCTGGCTTTACGCGCATAGTGAAGCTCGGAGAGAGAGGCTTCGGACGGGGGAAGAACATCCGCGGAGCGGAGGCGCCGGTCGCACTGAAATATCGAGGATCTGCGGACGTCCGTCTACTCCTTCATGGAGCTCTTCACCCTCTCCCTCCCTCTTCCTCTCGATCGTTCGCACATCCCTGTTCCCGCACAGGGCGTTCTGTCTCAAGGGATAAAGTGTGATGGGCCTTTGTAAATACTGGCTTTTTGCAAGTAGGCTTCATGCTGCAGTCAAAAGGGCACAGGATAAAGTGTGACGGAGAAGTAAGGAACCATGGCATATATGTTTGGAACAGATTCCAACGGGGCAGTCTTGATAATAAATGGGCAACTCCACGTCTCAAGAAAGCGAAATGAAAGCAGTTTTCAATAGTTCTTGATCTCAGGGGGATATCATCAATCATGGAAAAAAATAAGACGAGAATAAGCAGGGAAAAAAGCCCGCTATGTTTTTTTTTAAATGTTATATTTTATATCTTTTCTATATGTTTAATTAAGGGGATATATTTTATTTGTTTAATTAAGCAGGGAAAAATCAAGGGGATACACAGATAGATTTTATATTTTATATGTTTAATAATATAATTTTTTGATAGAGGTTTAATTACTCCACTCATAGAAGATTTATGAGGTTTGTAGAATATGCCCACGCCCATGATCACATAACCCCTTGTTGTTTCTTCTAGCACACAAAATTGCCTTAGGTCACAAGTGTTTGTCACCCCTTATTTTATATTATGTTCTAGAGTAACTATGGTAGAGATATACTACACTAATAACTTATAATACCTCGTCCATTTTGATATCCCATACCAAGAGCGTCTAGCCCCTAGATCCCACAATCACCTCACTACATAGTTGAACTTGAGTACTCGATGTTGCATGTCCACAGTGTAGCTCTAACCTCTAGATGCATGAAAAATGGACTACAATCACGAGATGACCTAGTTAGCTGATCTAGCACATAATAAAATACGTAAAACATGCATCAAAGATTTCCTTTCCTGCTTTTAGTATGCTTTCCGGTGTTTAAGTCCATTTTGAATTTGTTTGAACTCAGCTTCTGATTTATGAATGTTTAGAGGCTATAGAGCATGAAAAATGGACTACAATCATGAGATGACCTAGTTAGGTGATCTAGAACATGATAAAACATGTAAAAGATGTGTCAAAGATTTCCTTGCCTGATTTTAGTATGCTTTCATGCATTTAGGTCCATTTTGAATTTTTTTCAACTAAACTTCATATTTAGGAATGTTTAGAGGGACTAGAAGCATGAAAAATAGAATACAATCATGAGATGGACAATTTAGCGGATCTAGCACATGATAAAACATGTAAAAAATGCGTCAAGGATTTCCTTTCCCGCTTTTAGTATGCTTTCCCACGTTTAAGTCCATTTTGAATTTGTCTGAACTAAACTTCCTACTTAGGAACCTTTAACGAAAGCTCGGCTTATTTAAAGGCCCCATGTTGTAGCCCTAGAGACATTACTTAGCGTTCCAAATTTTTTTCCTCTTTTGAGATTCTCTCTCTCTGCTTGTGAATCGAAGCCCCTCTCCTATGGATTCAAGGGATTCCTCTGATCTTATCGATTCAAGATCACCTCCATGTAGATCCGAGGATCAAAGTTTCAGGTTACATGGATTCAAGATGTGGTTCTTCTCTGAAATTTCATTTCTAATGGATTCAACGAATAATTTTTTTCTCCATGCAAACGCAAGTCCATCAACTCAACACACCTTTGTTCAGCTTTTGATCATTCTCAACATACCTTCTATAGCATCCTTCCTTTTTTGGTTTCTAACTTATTCTAGAATAACTTGAAGAACCATTTTGAGAAATCAGTGGAGCAACCAAGCCTTGCTCTTCATGAGAATTAAAATTGTCTCCCTTGCAAAACCAACTTCTTAAATTGTAAATTCCCTTTAGGCTTATTTCTTAGTAATTTGGGACGGCTGGGATTACTGCAAGGATGATCAAATTCATTGTAGGCTTCTGATTTTTATTTTAAACGAAATACAATAGTTCACAAATAAGTATAAAATTATATTCTATTTGATTTTATTTTATTCACTGTGCTTTTCAGAAACTCTTATCATATTGTCTTGTACACCTCGAATGTTTGTCTGTCATCTTCAGCTTTCATGGCAACGAAAATTTTGCAGTTGCTGGATCTGAATAGATCTTAAGAAGGATTTTAGTATCCAGTAAGTACCAAAAACAGTCTTTATAAGACTTCCAATAAATTAGTTAGGATTTACATTTTTTTACCAAATTCTCTTTTCTTTAGATGATGATTATGCGTCATGTTCAAGAAAGTTCCCCCTCTAAGTGCCTCTGTCTCACCACATCCTATCAAGCTAAGTTAAATTTTCAGTAGGAAGCGGACGAGGTGAAATTCAGCTTAGCCTTCCTCAACCTTCAAGCCCTGATTGAGGGAGTTCTAGCTGGGCGCCCTTCTGCTTGGGAGGTACCCGTTTAATTGGGGTGCACTCCCGCTCAGAACCTGAAGTGGAGGACGGACGCCGAAACCAGTCAGATTTTTGGAGCACCTCTTCCTCACCTGCCGTTACGTTTCCTCCGACGTTGCATCGGCAAACAGCCTGACGTCGGGAGCACCTTTGCTAGATCCCCGCCGTTGACATTACTCTCGCGCTGCGTCATCCGCAACGTGGCATTAGAAACGGCTCACTGCCGGGTAACAGAGAGAGAGAGACATGAAATTTCATATATCCCTTTTTGCTTGCAGGTGTAGGCCCGTCTCGGCTGGTTCCCAGGCGTCATGGAGGGCAAGCCAGCTTCTAGTTCCCGGAGGAAGGTTACCATGGAGCTGATCGCAAAGAAGGAAGCCCGGGATATATGCTTCACCAAGAGGCGGCAAGGGCTGTTTAAGAAGCTCTGCGAGCTCTCAAGGCTCTGCGGCGTCGATACGCTGGCCCTGGTCAGCTCCTCCGCAGGAAAGCTCTACCCATTCGGCACCCCTGACGTACCGACGGCGGTGGACAGGTTTCTAAGCTTGCACGCCAACGGCGGTGGTGCCGTGGCGGAGGGCCCCCAGGAGGCGGCGGAGGGGCGGCAAGGGAAGGTCTTGAGGGAACTCTTCGACGAACTTCACTCGTTAGAGACGAGATTGAGGGAGCTACAGCAGCAACGCGCGGCGCTGGCGCGGGCCGTGGAGGAGAAGGCATCGCGCCTTCCCCACCGCTGGAGGAGTAAGCCGGCGGATCTCCCCACTGAAGAGCTCCAGGAGATGTTGGTGGTGCTCGAAAACCTCCAGGAAAAGTTGAACAACGTGAGCGACGCTCCCGAGGAAACTGCTTCGGGCCCAAAGCAGATGGATATCGAGAGCATCGTCGACCAGGGCTTCAGTTTCCCTCATCATTCTTCAGTTCTCCAGGGCACCGGCGATGGCTCGCTTATTCCACTTCCACAGCCTTCGGTGGCCAGTCCAGCTCGCCGGCTGCAACCTTCTGCTCACTACTTGCACCCGCCGGCACCATTTCTCTCCACAATTCCTGCGCCGCGGATGAGCGCTCTCGCCTCCCCAGGTATCACTGCCTTTGAGCAATCCTTTCCTCCGCTCTCAGAAATCCACTTCGCCCCATGGAACCTTCCCTGTCTTCCCATTCCTTTCCTTTCATCCGCACCCATTTCTGTGGGCTTCTCGGGTGGAGCTCCTGCGAATGTGGGGAGCCCTCAATATCCCCCCGGGCCTTCATCTTTCCCTGGGTTTCACGACAGCACTCTCTACGTTCCCATATCATCCATCGTCCCTGTTCCATCCCCGGACAATCCGTCAGCCTTCTCGGTCCGCATGAGCGACTGGGAGGCCCCTGTGAAGCCTTATAGCGGGACGCTGCTCCTGTTGGAGTCGGTCGCCGGCAGCTCATCGAGTCACGCGCAGGAGGACAACCCTGAGAGACGGCAACTCGGCGACATCTCAGGCCTTGAAGGATTTTGGGAGAATGGAGCAAGTTCCGGAGCGGATACAGAGGGGACGGATGACGGCAGCTCCACATCGAGCTTCGATTACATGGATTTCCTCGACATACCTGCCGACCAGGACTAGCTCGCCGTGGAGTGTGCATAGAGCCCTTCCATCTTCATCCATTTCCCTGCTGCTCATCAGCCTTCGTGTATGCTTGCTGAGACTACCAGAAGAACAACTATGGTCTGTACTGTCAAAGCTCTCCAGTTCATAGAGTTGTCCTTCTTACTTGGAAGTTCTTCATCCCCCGTGGCTAACGAGAGGATGCTCTAGGGATAGAAATAACAATAGTGTCTGTTGTGTCTCCAACTTCTGGCATAGAGGCACTTCGCTTAAGTGTGGTCAAAACATGGTTGATGGAGACGTTTTTAAAGTGACACTAGAAGTTTAGTCCACGACAGAGTGTCATGTGTTGCATTATGAATTAACTCATTATAATTTTAATATTTCTTAGATGTTAATATAAAATTGTGACATTCATAATATGAAATGTAAATTTAGTTAGAAATTGATATATTTTATGATTAAAGAGTATAGATTATTACAACAAACAACTAAGGTATAGTCCATAGGAAATTTCACAGTCTATTTCAAATTCTCGTTAGGGATATGACTATTAGATTGTGTAAGTATAAAGGTAATAAAAAGTATGTATGAATTGAATATGCTATAATTCTTTATGTAAGTTATTTAGGTTTTTGAATCAATTGACTTCGCTAATATAAGTATATTTGTAACTATTACAAACGTATTTAAATGTGAAGTCAAATGAAATACATTTTAGAGAAAATGATCAAGACATTGATTTAGTATTGATTTTACAACAGTATTGACATACTTTTTGCCACAAAAAATATGTCACAATTATAGACTCACAATTATTCAATGGAAATCTAATATAATGAGGAATTTAGAGTAGAAAATCATTCATAAAAAAATGAAAACATTAAAGGAGGTGGGGTGCATGTTAGGGAGCTTCATCCTCAAGCCCGCATAATAAGAGGAGGCTCTTCATCACATCCGATACACTCTTAGGAAGTGGCGACTCATCTCCCGACGAATCATTCTATTCCCAACGACAGCTTATCGTCGATCAATCAGAGATGATTTACTCGATGAATTCATGATCCTTTTATCGTGAATCATTCAACAATTTTAGTAACAATACTCTACGAATCACGTTGACAAGATTTTTGCTCATGATCTAATGATTCTGATAGCTTAATCCTTCATCGGCGATCTACAGAAAAGTCATGAGAATTAGATAAAAATACGAGTTTTGACTCTGAGAGGATTTGAACCTACGCTAGTTGCCCACCGGCATGAGAGAAATTAAAATAAGTACTCTAATACCCTTATCAAGTGACATCATCATAGTATATCTCTATTATAACAAAGGGGTAGTTTAGGTATTAAAATCTTCAAAAGCCTTTTGGGGGAAGGTGGAACACGGGTTTAGTCCCACATCACTTGTGCGCTGAAGTTTTAGGCGAATATATAGTAATATCACATTTCTAAGCAATGTGTCCCCCCACGTGTACGACCACTCTTTGCCCCACAGTCAACTGGCCACCAGTGATGTGGAAGGAGAGTGACACACATGTGCCCCCATCAGTCCTAGCCACTCGAGCCCCTGCTCACGGCTCCCCCCGACTATGCTTTTGACTCGCTTGCAGGCCCAGTTGGCCAACGGGTCCCCCCCATTTTGTTATATTTTTATCTTAATTTCTTTTTCTTTATTTATCTCAAAAATAAGACTATAAAAATCATATAAAGTTATAGAAAATCACATAATTAACCAAAAATTCACGTTAATCAATTGAAAACCACTTTTCACACTTTAGATAAATATAAGTCTATTTATCATGAGTTAAGGGTAAAACTATATTATTTATTAATTATTAACTCATGATAATGAAAACTTATCAAGTACCTTCCAAGAGGGGGGTGAGATGCCTTAAACCTTTGAGAATTAAGTCCCTTCAATAGACGATTATGATTAATAACTGACTCTCTAAGTGGACAAGCTAGATTCTTCCATAAAGGTGGCGTTCTAATTGTCCTCTTAATCTCATCTTAGGGTACTCTAAGATGGACAGCCTAGATCTTATCTCTTGATAGCCCTTTTAAATCCAAATGGGCTAAGTCAAGGTGACGGCTTCTCTTAGGTCTATAAACATATTAAGTTGGTCGTCTCCATAAGACTTGGGCTTTTCCTTGTGCTGAAGACTTAAGTTTCTTTCATTACCTCTAACTCATAGTAAGAGTTCACCTAAGTCCTTGCAATCAAATAGTTATTAAGAAAATATAAGAGAATCACCACTTGACTTCATAAAAGTCAAGTGGGGTTAGTCTCATAATATAAATAAAATAAATAAAATTATATATATTAGAACTTGAATGATAAAATATTATGAATGTCATAATGAGTTGGTAACACATATATAATTTTATTCTCTACTTATTAATTAACATCTCTATATAAGATATTAATGTATAGATGTAACTACTAATTTATAATTATTCCTAACATCGAAGTAGCAATCATTAGATTTCTTGATATTTAGAAAGTCTCTAGGTGGTGTCCACGGTCTCGAAGGCTCTCCTTGAATATGTATAGCATGAGCACTCTTTGAATTACTGTGAAAAGTCTAGAGGATGAAGTTAATTAGTGATGAAGTAGATATCCGGTGGTTGTCACTTGACAAAATGGAGGTTGATGGAAATGGTTCTCAAGTAGCTGTCAATTGGTGGAATGGAGGTTCACGAAAATAGTTCTCCAATGGCTCTCACCTATGAAGTGATGATTGATGGAGGTGGTGCACAGCTCTAGGAACTTCTTCCTCATATCTCCACTACAAAAGGAAGCTCGATTGTAAACAAAGCACTTTGAAGAGACTATGACTTGGTGCATCCCTTTATTCTCGATATGGCTTGCTCATCAACCAACATGAGATGAGATTTCCTTTAAAAGCTCACAATTTTTTCCTTCGAAGTCCTTAGTCAAATGTTACTAAAGATCCTTGATTTTTGTTGATGAAGATTTCATCAACAATCGTCTGTCTTCCTCACTCTTTTCATTGATTGTTTCCTTGTAGAAAAATTACAAAGTCAAATAAGGAAAATCCTTTGGCATGATTGATCTTCCAATCTTTGGCAATCATGTGGCCAGCATATTATTTGCTACGTAAAAGAGGTTAAATAGTTTCACAATATACCTGTGAAATAGTAAAAATATGAAGACTTTACCTTCTCTCTACCTAAGGGTATTTTCAGGATTATTTTGGCTAATAGAGTTGGCACTTTAGTCCCACATTAGTTGTTTTGGAGAATTTTTGATTCATATAAGTCTAGGTTTTCCGACACATATGACTTATTAGGAAAAGAATAGAAGAAGCATCTGACTCCTTCATGCATACTCCACTTGGCTCGGTGGGATATAGCTCAGTTGGTAGAGCTCCACTCTTGCAATTGGGTTGGGATTAAGAGCAATTGAAAACATCAGACCTTTAGAGTATCCATAAAAATATTGAATACAGTTATACCACTAATTGTACCAATCCACATATGTCTCGTATGGGCTAAGCCCTGAAAAGATTGTCGTAAAATAAGAGCACTTGGCTCTGCCCATTCACAAGAGGGAGAGGGGTCCACTGAAGAAAACCTTTATTTTGGTTCCAATGGAAAGAAGATCTGTACAAAATTGATGGAACGGGGAGACCTAGGATGTAGAAGATCATAACACGAGTGGGTTTGGTATTATTCCTTCATCAAGCCCTATACACTAAGACAAAAAGTCTTATCTAATGGTAGATGGAGCTTCAACTGCAGCATCCATTTTATGTATGGGTTGCCTGGGACTTGAACCCCGAACTAGTTGGATGGAGTAGAATTTTTTTCCTTATATAAAAAAAGATCCCTCCCCAAACTGTGCAGCTTAATTAAAGTCGAATTCTCATTTGCCAGATTCATCATATATACCACAATTGGAGATTTCGAAATAGAGAATTCATATTTTCTTTTTAGTTTAGGCAAAAATGCAATTTTATAATTGATATGTTAGATACAAAGGAGGACAGACTTGTAGTGTTTTAGAGCTCGAAGTTGGATGAAGACTCCACATATGATAATGTAATTTTACATTTCTTGCACTTATTAACTACTTTATATTAATTTTTAATATTAATTTACATTTATTAACTACTTAATATTACTTATAATAGATATATATTTATCATAAGATATCTTTGTAAGAGGTTAAAATATTAAATTGAACTCCGATTCGTATTTTTCATATAGAAATCTTTGGTCAATGATAGAACAAGATCCATTTTGCATCATATCTAATGGATTCCTGGAGAAATATCAAAGCATATTATCTATGATATAATATAAAGTCATGGTGTGACCACTTGGGGAGAAGAGATAACAAGTGGTATGTCTCCACACAACATATGTGACGAGATCATACCTTGTCCCACACACCAGTTCCCTCCTCGATGACATGGAAGAAGAGTGATGCACACATGCTCTATGTGGGTCCTTGAGCCACTTGAACCTAGCTCTTGGTTCCTTTAGGTTTGAGTAACTAATTGAGTCCTTGAGCACACATAAAGGAATTTTGAAACCAACTGAGCTTCTATTTATCAGACAACAACAAAGACACAACTTTGTCTCTCAAAACCCTTATGTCCAAGAGAATTTCTCATAATAGAGTAGTACAAGATTTTATAAAGAAAAAGAAATAGAAAGAGTAAAGAACGATACAAGAAAGGCCTCTAAGGTAGAAAATCCTCATATCTTCCCCCTCCCCTAGTCCCTATGTACATTGTATTCATAAGCAACTTGAAGGCTTTTCTAGAGTTCAAGCTGTTATTCTGTTTCACCATCTGAAGTAGAAACTCTCTTGTTGTTGATATAGGTTTGGGTGTTCAGAGCTTGATTTGATATTCCTCCATCTCAAATAGTCGGATCCCCCACTTAATAACATGTGGCCATTATTTGGTAAGATCTAACCTTACATATGACTCTATGTCAACCAATTTTAATGTTCAAGATTTTTGTCATTTCAGAATTGGACA